ATGTAAACCACTTTACATACATTCATATATTACATTAATATGTGGCAGAACTAACACAGTTATATGGGGAAACAATCACTGGTTTATTATACACAAGCACGACGTTTCGATAAGTATCCTCTTATCGCTATCAAGCACAATGACATTTAGTTGTTGTTGTTTATTACAGATTTAACGCCCAATATAATGAATATGATATTATGGACAAGTTGATTTAATTAAATTATTTACACTTGAAAATTGTTAAAATAACAAATTAAAAAAAAAAAATGGTCCTCGGATAAGTTCCTTAAAGCACACTTATAAACCCGCTGTCGTGAGAAGAGAGGGCGGGTCATCTTCTCCCTTTGTCATAATAAAGTTAAAACAGGAGGTCCAACTGACTGATGTTTGGCGTCATCAGAGCGGATAGAAAAAAACCCGTGGGGAAAAAGAATTCGCTGGCTTTATGTGGAAAACCGAAGTGCTCGCATTAAAAACCACATAGCTGGACCCGTAGATTATTTACATATTAAAAGTGTTCGTCCAATAAGTTCCATATTGTTAAAAATTAATTAAGACTTCAAGACTTAAAAGTTTAAAAGTTGTAGGCATTCCATTAGAGTTTTCCTTGCGTACGACTCTCCACAGATACAAATTTATCTGAAAAGAAAATGAAGAGCCAGCAGCAATAAAAACAAATTGAACCATTTATAGGAATAAATAATTTTTTAAACACAGGTTAAATTAAATTGATTGATGTGCACTGTCATTGTTAATAATGGTTGTATTGTAGGTCCCTATTCCTTTATTTTGTCATTATTTTTCCTCAGTACTCGTATTATAATATTAAATCATGCAGCAGACTGAACCGCCATACTGTCCTACAACAATAGTAAACTTGAGGGTCTATATATATACTATTCAAAAAAAGTAGGGGATATTTGATTTTGGGGGCATAATACTAAAATATGCAAATGACTACGAAAAAAGTCACTATAGAACCTAACAGAAGAAACATTTCCAGTTACATGTGACGCCCAAACGCACCAATAGCTACCGCATGGAATGCAGGTGATGCTTGGGATCATCATGGGGGTCCAACCCAAGATTTTCACGACTCTGACTTTGAATGTTACAGTCATTGTGGCATTGAATTCCAGGGTGGAAACATCAGTTTAATTGTTTTAGTGACCAGAAAACAAATTTTGATATGCGTCGGCTTACCCAAAATGAAAGGTTACGTGCCCTTGGCATGCTACAGATCGGCACAACACAGGCGGTTGTGGCGCGGACGATGAATGTTTCTCAGTCTGTCATAAGCAGGCTATGGTCCAGATACCGTGATACACAATCTGTACAGGACAGACCACGCTCAGGTCGACCAAGGGCGACAACTCAAGCCCAGGATCGATTTATCCGTACCTTGGCCTTGAGAAATCGTGTCATCACAGCAAATCAGATCAGCGCTCGTCTTCAAACAGGCACTGGTGTGAGAGTGAGTGGCCAGACGATTCGGAATCGACTGCATAGGGGTCACCTTCGCGCCCGACGTCCTCGCGTGATCCCTTGTTTGAGAGATCATCACATTCAGGCAAGACGTCGTTGGTGTAGGGATCGTCAACACTGGGATAATCGACGCTGGAGCAATGTGATGTTTTCAGATGAGTCAAGGTTCACTGTTGATTTTTTGGACAGACGTAGGAGGGTGTGGCGTCGTCGAAACTAGCGCTTCCAAGACGTTAACGTCATCAGACATGATCGATTTGGGGGTGGTTCTGTTATGGTGTGGGGAGGCATCACTGTTGCTGGAAGAACGGCTTTACATGTTGTTGCAGGGCGTGTTACAGGCCAGTATTACCGGGACAACATCTTGGCAGTCCATGTTGTGCCGTTCGCACGACGTCATGGCCGCCGTTTCATCTTCCAGGATGACAACGCAAGATGTCACAGGGCCAGGATCGTTACAGGTTACCTCCAACAACAGAACATCACCACATTACCTTGGCCAGCACTGAGTCCCGACCTCTCCCCCATCGAGCATGTCTGGGACATGCTTGGACAGAGGTTACGTCAACGTCAACAACGTCCTGCCAATGTCCAAGAACTTGCTGCTGCGTTGCAACAGGAATGGGACAATCTGGACCAAAATGACCTAAGACGTCTCATTAGGAGTATGCCACGTCGGATCAATGCTTGTTTGGCAAACAGAGGAGGATTTACCCGTTACTGACTTGGTTGTGATGCTGTGGTAACTTTGCTGTTTGACCCCGGGTATCATTTTACCCTTATAATGGTCAGTCTGTGCCTTACTTAGTCTAACGATCATTTGGAATAAATCGATGAATGTGAACTTCATTTCATTTTGTCATTTGTTTCTTCGTCAGTTTCATTAGGTGACTTTAATAACACTTAAAAATCAAATATCCCCTACTTTTTTTGAATATTATATAAATGTACAATATGAAGCCATACTTAAACAATTATTATTAATTATTAGAGGAGTTCGTGATTATAGTTAATTATATTTACCGACAAAGTGCTTGGATACAAAACAAGTACATAAAAATATAGATAAACATAAAACCATTTTGCATTATTGGTAGAAGAGTTATAGCAGTTAATAGGTGTTAACTAAGTAAACTCCACTGGATTGACAAAGATTTCGATGTACATGAAACCATAGTGTGTCCTACCATGATAAAAAAAAGCATAATTACTCTAACATTACATAGTAATATAGTCCCTGGGAGGTGATGCCGAGGTGTGAAGGTTGAAATGAAAATAAACTTGGGGATTGGATAATAATTAATTACAACATAATGAAAAGTCCATGACTGATTTAATTTAATTTATTTTTTGATAACGGCATCATAGGCCCTATGAATAAACAGTCCTAAATCTCTATTTAATTCTGGTGAAAATCTTTTGATGTATAGCTTCTTTTAATTTCCGAATGTCCTTGTTATGTTGGTTTGTGCCCAGAATTTCGACTTTGTCCCAATCTATTTGGTGTCGTGGGTGGTCCTTCAAGTGCTCTGCTATGGCCGATGTGTTAGTAGGAGCTCTTGATTTGTGTTCTAAAATTCTTTTTTTCCACTGGTCTTTTAGTTTCACCGATATAGGCTTTTTCGCAGGAGCAGTTGATTTTGTAGATGGCTCCTTTAGGCTGTGCGGGAATGGTCGGTTGCAGCTTTCCATTTGCTTTTAGGATCTGTTTTAAGGATGTGGGGATAGTGAAAAGGGTGTCTATTTTCGACTTCTTTAACAATCGGCTGACCTGATAGGTGAGATCCCCGTAAAACGGCAGGGTGACACTAATGGGTGATTTTTGTGGCTTCTGTTGGTTACTTCTGTTGTTATTTAGGGTGGCCTGAATCTGTCTGTTGACTATGGTTGGGGAATAATTATTTAGGTTGCAGAAGACAAGAATTTACTTAGGTCTAATAATGTACGATAAATGGACAGTAGTAGCGAAAAATACATTCTGAAAAATGGACCCTCCCTCAATGAAATGATTTGACTGACATGGCGTCTAACAACAGTTTATTTATAGCTTACAGTATCTCCCGACGAATACAAAGTTTTGAGAGGAATTTGAGGCAAATGTTTGATAGATAAATTAGTTTGAATATGTTTTTAGTCCAAATATATCACCAAATGACACAGTTTGTACGCGAGAAAGTATCCTTAAGGAGAGCCTGAAATCAATGAATCATTAATAAATGATATCAATGAGGCTACGAAGTTGGTGGCACTATGAAGTTAATGAGAGTATGAACTTAATGGATGGTTTTTAATGAGGGCATGAAACAACCAATGATATTAATGGGAGCATGACCTGAATGTGCCGATCCCGGAACATAACAAAGTACTTCGTTGGCCTAGTTATCCGATGAATCAGTGTAGGGCGACCTTGAAATAAACTAGTTAGAACACCTTTTTTCATGTGATTGACCATGGGCTTCTCCGTATCAAATGTAATTACAAGGAGTAGGTCCTAGGCCTAGGTCGCCTGTTCAACCTCGTGCATTTATGTTCAAAAATAAAAATGTTGTGTGGAATTCAAAATTCATGTGCTTTTCAATTTCTGTCTAAAATTCCGCAGTTTTCTGATGTATTATAGTGTTTGCAGAATGTCGCACTGCTCATTTGAAAATGCATGGGTTTTCAGAATCTTTGGCCAGGGCATTGCATATATGTTTGTTTATTAGATAACAACAGATTTGTTCAGACAGCAGCAACATGTGAGGTATATAGGACTCAGATTAGTAATGGGAGTTATAAATAGACAATTTTTTCCTTAATTTTTTTCTCTCCTCTTCCTGCATCTTTGGGTTGACTTTTTGGTCTAGAATTGGAACAAAGGGGATCAAATTTGCAATTTCATAGCAGTTTTAGGTAATACTGATAATATTACAACGGAGGGATACGGGGTGTAAAGTGTCTTTCTGCAGAGCAATCATTGTGTCGGAAGTGAGATTTTCACCCCAGTCAACATCAAATCCCAGTAGTAAAAAATCTTTAACGGTCAACCCCCTACAAAATTATGATGAGGAGATTGCCAAATGTGGTCCCCATTGTGCCTATAAAGATTGAAACCAACGGAATGTTGAGCAAAAAGCTACAACCTGTGATGTTACAGCCAAGTCAATGGGCAAATAATTACTAGTCTGAAACCTGATAATACACGATCGAGTTATGTCCCTTCTCGAGAGTGAGCGTGAAGTTCCGATTTTGGCACAAAACAGACGCTTCTTTAACAAAATTGTTATTTTGTGGTTTCAAAGTCGGAATTTATAAATTACTGGGTGTTATTTTGGAGTTATTGGGTGTTATTGGATGTTAAATTGGGTAATTTGACGTGCTATAGTTATAAGGCCCACGGTCCTTTTCTTTTAGAATTTAGAAATCTCGGTAACATCTCGCTTCTCCACGTCAAAACAATCATGGCTAACCAGTCACCGTGGCAAGAATCATCTAAGAAGGTAAACAAACTAGAAAACTGTCAATTTTAGAACCAAATCTGATCTGATATTGTCCCGTATGATTTGAAGTGTATTGAGTAATTTAATGAACTGGTATAATGATTAAACTGGGCTGTTAGACCTAAAACATTAAAGGCAAGGTATATAATAAAGATGCTGAAGAGTACGAGAAACAGGGTGATGGGCTCAAAAAGGCATTCAGTATTCAGCTTTAATGCCTATACTTTGTTATCGAAATGTACTTGAGAAGATACTGAACAATATGAAATGAATGAAAATAAAAAATAATGACTTTGAAATTTGTAACTTTGGAAAATATGAAGCAAATGTATCAAATGGTTTGAACAGCACTTTTATAAGAAGAAGTAACAGGGTAAATAGTTCACCTCTGAATGTAAGTTCTTGTTACACTCGCCCTGTACATTACATACTCCTCGCAGTGTTTCGTTTGATTAGACCTAATCCCACTCAAGCACGGCCGGAAAGAAAGCAAATTTCTGTTTCAAATTATGACTGGTCAATAGTCCTATTAACAACCAATGCCTAACTGCGTAACAATGTCATTCGGGTTTAAACAGAGCTCTACACTGTTTACATCACAAAACATTTACACACGATTAACCGGTGCATAGCAGAATATTGTAGAAAAACTAATTGCGTGACAAACGAGGCTATGAACAGTTACAATGTAAACAATACTGTTTGGAGACGAACAATATACTTTCACCGTTTTTAATACATAGAATTTAATACCTTAAATCACTGTCCAAAGTTTTAGGGAAGACCCCAGATTAAACAAAGGGTTGTCATGTTGCTGTACATGGGATAGATTTGATTAAACGGGAAGAATAGACAAGCTCCCTCAAAAGGTCAAGTATCATAAGTCAAATAAGCAATGGCCAGAGAGGAATTTCTCGGGCCATTGCTTCAGGAATATGTGTACATTCAGGAACCAGCCTATTGATTCCTTGTCGAAAATTTTTCAGTTCCCAGTAAATCTTACTGGGCAACTTTTTACTGCTAAACGGGCGCTTGTCAGTCCCTATGAACGCCTGTATAATGTTACAAATGTAAAGGAACATTTAAGTGAGAAAATAAGACCTGGCTTACCTTGCTAGAGTCAGTATGTGCAACACATTATGCTGTTAAAAATATGTTTCCTTCTGGTTAACAGCTTAATTGGCAGAAGCCATTGAAATCTAAATATAGTGTAACGCAAAAATTCACGTAACTTGGCCATATAAGGTAAGCAGGTGGGGGGGGGGAATGGGATGTTTGAAAAATTGAGAATCTTCTGTCATTTAAAGCTTTGCCTAGCCCATGGACCTTATAATAATACATAAGGGTCATGCCTAGCCCAATTAGAATCAAATTTTTTCACAAATTTCAATTTTGTTTTCCCTGCTTACCTGATTTTCGTTTCTTCTTATATATATGGCTGAGTTACGTAAATTTGCGTGTTACACTATATTTAGATTGCAATGGCTTCTGTCAAGCTGTTTAGCAGAAGGGGACGTATTTTTAACAGCATGTTATGTCGCACATACTGACTGTAGCGAGGTAAGAGAGTTTTTTTTCTCACTAAAATGTTCCTTTACTTTGTACAGATGTTCACAGTGACTGACAGGCGACCGTTGAGCAGTAAAAAGTTGCCCAGTAAAATTTACGGGGAACTAAAAAAAATTGGACAAGAAGTCAGTAGGCCATTTCTGAACGTACAGGGTGAGTGTAATGAGACCTACGTTTAGAGCTGAACTATAGGGTAAACTACACAAGACATGGAAGTCACAAAGTTATATTGTCACAGCAGAAAAAGATTTTTCAATGCATTAGACCAAAAGTGCTGGAAATCAGTCAATGCATTATTCTGATTTTATGTTAGTGTAACAGTAGGTATGACAATGAATGAATGCTCATGGACTATAGGTCTATGCCATGGTATGTTGTTTCTTATGTTTAACCAGACTTCTTTTTCACCACCATTACAATTCAGTCATACAGTATTTGGTGACTCATGCATTACAATTATGGTAATATGTTTAAACATTATGTTGCAGATGACATCAAGTCAAGGATCAGCTATATTAGACATGCAGTTAGAGGAGATGGAGATGATGGAGGACGATGCTTCTGATAATGGAGAAAATGGATTTAATGGTTAGTATATCATTTTTTTTATTCCCCAAGTCTGATAAACACAGAAGTTCATTAGCTTTAAACTGTACTCAAATGTAATTGATTAGTTGCATATGCAGTATTCGATTCCATGAACAATAGATATTTGAATACATGTATGATATGATTCGATAGTCTATGTAATTTCTTGTTTTTATACGCCAAGATTCAAATGTGGTCGTACGTGACAAGGAGTAGGGTTGCCTGTCCAACCTCGTGGGTTTTCTCCGGGTCCTCCGGTTTCCTCCCACTGCTAAAGACCCCTACGCACAAGCGAATTATTGAAATAAAATTAAACCATATGTTAGTCCCGAAATGATCTAGTTTGTGTTGAGTGGAGTTAAACCCCATTTCTCTCTCTCTATCTCTCTCTCTCAAATATGGTCATATATTACCATTGGCTCGCGTCCACAATTGCTCATCGGCGCTGTAGGGGTTACAGTTAATATTCCATTGACTTTAAATTTATACAGTGTTTAGTTAACTTTAAGGCTATAGAGGCTACAGTTAATATTCCATTGACTTTAAATTTATACACTGTGTTTAGTTTAACTTTAAGGTTATGAGACGAAGAAGCCTCTGGTTTTTCAATGATTTCCGATAATTATTGCCAGAGTTATGACCCTTGATCACTTGAGAAATCTTGTGGACTCTAGAGGCTAAAGTTGATATAAATTTATACACAGTGTTTAAGGTCATGAGACAGACAATAGAAACAAATTCTAATGATTTCTGATAATTACTTAATGGGTTGTTACTCGTAATCAAATTTTAGTGTGTTGTAATTTTTCGATATACTGACAAAAGAAAAAATGTGACAACCCTCGTTGACTGCTCGGACAACTTAGCTGCTGTGGGCGTATGTTTCATTGCCTGGCAACCTATCTTTGTATGTAGAGAAAGCAATACCTCAGAAGGAAGATAATGGTTCACCTGAAGATATGAGAAAACGAATAGGACAAAATGTGGGAGAAATGGTTCGTACATATATGAATTTATTAGTTAAATCCTCATTTGTCATAAGCCTTATATAGTAGCCTACCGGTAGTTATAATAGTCATTATCCATTCTTTGATTAAGTGACAATAGGGTTTGAAAGGTATTGAAAGGTATTACTGTATTAAGCTTTCATATATTCTACAGAATTATAATATTCTATACTGTCTGTAAGGTATTACTGGGAATGCATAATGAATAAATAAAACTTTAGAAATGTTATTAGGAACTGACGTCATCGATGAAGAAACTTTTTGTGTTTTTCAACCAATTTGAATGTGGTTTTTACCAATTTGTAGCTGTTTGTATTACTCAACTTTTATTTTTGGGACATTGTGGCCTTTAGACGCATGCATTAGAATTTTAAGCTCAAAGGTGAAAAGAGTGAAAATTCTGAGCGTAACTTTTTTATTTTTGAAGATTTCGACTTGGAACTTTCAGAATACATTACAAATGGTTGGATTAAGCCAACAATGACAACAAAAATTTTCTGATTATCTCCCCTTTGAAGATGAAGTCAGATTCTCAACTTCTTTAATTTTGCATTATTTAAAAATATTTGTCAATACGAGTTGTCTATCAACTTTTTAGAATAATCTCATAAAGTTGAAATTCAGCAGAAGTGCAACTATTTTGAAAATGTAAGTCATCTTCAAAATCCTACTCATCCTATAATTTTTATCCAATTTTCATTATTTTGCGAAAGCATTCTTAATTCGTAACCGATCGAAGCATTTACAATTTTGATATTTGGTCTAGATTTTTTTTAAAGTGAGGTCATAAAATTGAAGTTTTTTTGTTTTTTTTTTAAAAAAGTGTAAGACTTTGAAATCAGGTAAAATGTCAATGACAAACGATAAATTGAGTCATTTGGTGCATATTCTGAAAGTTTTATCAAAATTAGTTTATAAACAAAGGTTCTGTGCAACTTCAGAAAAAAGGTTGGGTGTTCAATCCCTGCATTGGCCGAGAAAGTTAATTCCGATTTCCCAGCGTGGTTCCCCCTTGTTAGTGATGCAGGTTGGAGGGCCTGACAAGGACAGCTGTCTAGTCGTTGGGATGGGACGAAAAAACAAGGTCCCGTGTACACATTGACATACACGTAAAAGATCCCTTGACAGTTAGAATTCGATATAAGAGTAGGCCGTAGTGCCGCTGTCCAGGCAGAATTTCCCTTATAGCACACTGTATGGCGTATGCCTGTCTTCATTAGCCCTATTCGGAGCAGAATAGTAGGACGTTAAACCCCACTTCATTTCATTTCATTTCAAATATGAAAGCTTTCATATCTGCCTGGCAGATCTAGTTTTTATTATTATTATTTTTTTTTTTTTTTTGTTCTTTTCCTGCAAATTTTATTTTTCTGAAACTTTTACCTATCCCCCCAAGAATGGGTGGTGGCTTTTGTTTAAATATTTTTTTCAAAACGTTTTACGAATCCAAAATCACCAAATTTTACGAAAGAAAAAGTAGTTGTAACTTTGTCAGTATTTGACCTACTTTACTAATTTAATTGTGGACACTCTGGAGGCTAAAGTTATTATCCGATTGACTTTAAACTTATACACAGTGTTTAAGGTCATGAGACGAAGAAGCCTAACGATTTCCAGCGATTTCCAATAGTTACTGCCAGAGTTATGGCCCTTAATCTCTTTGTAATATCTTGTTGACACTCTAAAGGCTAAAGTTAATATCCAATTGACTTTAAATTTATATGCACTGTTTAAAGGGGCAGTTCTCTTTATAATAGTCAAAAACTAGATAAAACTAGAAAACTAGAATATGCTAAAAAATTTCAGTCAAATTGCTCCACTCTGAACCGAGATATTAGTGTTTTAATTTTGGGCCTAGTCTCGATCATCATTACTAAAGTCAGTACAATAAAAAATATAGTCTGGATTATCCAATTTGGATTTCATTATCAATCAGCATTGAGCAGCAGATTGGATTCAAATCCAGTGGAAATCTAACCCATAAGATGGCATCAAGAGTTGATTAAGATCTTTTTATGTTAAAGATACATTATGTAAGATTTAGTTAAAGAGCTCAAAAATAGATAATGTAAAATGAAAATATTGAAAATTTCATTAATTACTTTATTCTGAACCACTTTTTCACTGTTTGTAGTTTTGACAAGATGTGTGCATTGCGGTAACCGGGGCACTGGTATATTGGAGATTTAGCCTTGCTTTCCCAATTTTAAATTAAATTTTTAAATGGTGAACCATTCTAATCTAGTTAAAATCTCAAGTAATAATAAATGTCTAATTAATAGTTTATATAACATTTCAGGCCTAAAAAAAGACCTGCAATAGGCAGATTTAGCTCTTGCATAATGTATGTTTAATGTAACAAATCAAGCCTATAGAAAGACTTGCAATATAAGGAGATTTAGCTCTTGCAGAATGTATGTTTAAGGTCATGAGCCGAAGAAGCCTATTGACTTTCAGTGATTTCCGATAATTACTGCCAGAGTTATGGCCCATGATCACTTTGAAATATATTCTTGACGCTCTGGAGACTAAAGTTAATATTCAATTGACTTTAAACGTATACACAGTGTTTTAGGTCATGAGACGCAGATTTCCGATAATTACTAATAATAATAAATAAAAGTAATAATAATGTCCTAAAATCCAACCGAAGCTACTCTTTGGTGACATTATGGTCAGTTAAATAAAAAGCTCTAGTTAAAATGAGTACACAATCAACAGTTAAAAGAAAACATTTCTAAAAAGATGGGTTTTTAGATTCCTTTTAAAACTGTCAATTGATGCACAGTGCTTGAGTTCTAAAGGAAAATCATTAGAAATGATATAATATCAACTTTAAAAAATCACTAGTTTTCAGTAGACAAGACACAATGCAAACCACTAGACAGCCATCTTGAAAATTACTGCTAGAGTTATAGCCCCTGATTGCTTTGAAATACCTTGTGGACACTCCAGGGGCTAAATTTATACACACTATTTAAAGTCATGAGACGAAGAAGCTCATTGATTTTAAACTATTTTTTATAATTACTACCAGAGGTATAGCCCTTGAACTCTTTGAAAAATCTTGTAGAAGCTCTTGAGGCTAAAGTTGATATCTGATTGACTTTAAACTTATACACAGTGTTTAAGGTCATGAGACAAAGAAGCATTTTCATTTTCAATGATTTTTGATAATTACTGCCGAAGTTAAGGGCATTGATCACTTTGAAAAATTTTGTGGACGCTCTAGAGGCTAAAGTTAATATAAATTGTTTAAGGTCATGAGACAAACAATCGAAACAAATTCTAATGTTTTCTGATAATTATTTCATGGGTTATTACTCGTAATCAAATTTGTTAACTGCCCAGACGACTTAGCTGCTGTGGGCGTATGTTTTGTCGCCTGGCAGCCTATCTTTGAGTGAAGTCTGTATCACTACAGGCCAGGGACCGTACAGTGCAGTGGAAACTTATGGCTAGCCCTCGGATCCATTCACTTAATCTGATATGTGCGTTTGTGATTTCTGCGTATTGTGTCTTGTCCGTAGATTTGTTTTGTGTAATTGTGTGTGGTGCAGTCCCCTTGCACTTATTATTGAGCTCAGTGTTTATGGATACTAATGAGTTATTATTCAATAGCTGACTGACATTCTTAGACAGAAAAAGAGGATGTCATAAAACATTTATAATGTATAATGTTTGTATTGTAGGTATGGCAAGTGAGTAAACAAAGAGCACAGAAAGCATGGAGTGTCTATGGTAATATTGATATTTTACGGCCATATTTTGATGTGGAACCAAAAGAAGTTCAGAAGAGGTGGATATATGAATTATTTTATCAGATTATTATTTATATACTCTTCAAAAAAAAGTAGGGGATATTGAAATGCAAATACCTATGCAGGTTGCGATATGATAAATAGTCATGGACATTTGACATGCTTTGAGAGTATGTTCACAGATGAAGAACTTAACGCCCAACAGAACCACTGAGCTGCACATGCGACACGCAGTATCGACATACACACGGGAGGGGTTCATTATCAAATTTGACGCTTCAAGGAAGAGTTGATGAAAACAGCCGCGTGCTGGTTTATCTATCCATGTTTGCTTTCCTATCAGTTCTTGCATAAGATTTACTGTTTAGCGTATCTTTGCTTTAGTGTGTTACGTTTAATTTGATCGGGAGACGTGTTTGTCAACGTCAACCAACAACACTGCAAGAATTGGTCGTGGCACTGCAAGAATTGGCTGTGGCACTGCAAGAATTGGCCGTGGCACTGCAAGAGGAGTGAGTCAGATTGCCCCAAATCATGATTGGATGGTTGATTAGGAGCATGCCACGACGAATTGCTGAATGTCTGAGGATTGGTGGAGCAATTACTCATTATTAAGACAATAATCAAAAACGTCCATTTTCACTTTTGACGGTGTATCTCTTTGCGAGTGAAATGGGGCCGTCAGATAAGCTGCCCATATGAACAGTTTATGTTCATGTGTAGGCAATTGGCCTGTTATTAACATACACTGGTTATCTCTAATAAAAACAACAGTGCATTTCCGCAGTTTTGTATTTTTTCTGAATATCCCCTACTTTTTTTTGAAGAGTATATTTGAATTTGAAATACTGGAATATAAATAGGTTACCCTAAATCAAAGCCCTGTTATACATACTCCTCACAGTATTTTGATAATCTATGCTTAACACAGATTATGTTTGTGTTTAATTGAGATGCCTGTAATCTACTGATCTATCCAATAACTGGCCTATTCACAACAAAATACAACACAAGGTATATAAGGATATAATTACTTGTGTTGTATATATTTACCATACTTCTAGATGTCATTTAAGGATTTGTGACATATTTAGTCTGGTTGGCACTAATATTTTTATATAAAAATATTTATGGCACTGGTTTATCTCATTTTAATTTATTATGTGGTAATTGATTACATGTAGTTGTTAAAATTGTGAAAGAAGATTCAAATCTGTCACTAGTTTTGGAAGTGAACAATTAGTTTTTGATATTCTACTTTAGGTTTACATTAACACCCCCCCCCCCAAAAAAAAAAGTAAGTATGTTAACATTCACAGCTATATTTATCTATATGTTTTGCAGGCTGATTTATTCTTTGATACCACAGAGACCTACAGCACAAAGACAGGTTAGTTTATTTTTTACAATGGCCAGTGCATGTCATATTGGCAGATCCTTCATGAGTTTAGCACTGACAATGATCTTATGGTTGTCTGATCATTTCCAGAAGCTAGTTCTAGTAGTGGGAAAGACATGACTGAAATTTTACTCTATGGAGCAGCATTCACATTAGAACTACAAAGAAGAAAATGTGACAAACTTGTTTTGAAGGTGTTTTTTATATCTTATTGGACCCTCTAAAGAATTCGAGCATTTTTTACTGGGGGAAATGGCTGAAATTAGGCAGTTGACGAAATAACCAGCACCATGCAACAACCTTCAAAAAATCATAAATTATCCTTTTGCATGTAGAACAATAAAATATTGTAATAATATTGTAATTATCAAGTTGTTAATTTGAATCCATGTTTATTCAAAATGGACCGAAAAGCCGAGATGGCAGCCATCAATTCATATTAACTAATGATTAAAGGATATCACTATTAACAAATAAAGTTTGATTTAAAAGATAAGAATCCATATATTGTGCTCCTCAAAACAACAGACCTACATAGTAAATTTGACCCATATGTCAAATAGAGAATGACAAAATAATTATTCCAATGAAATCATCAGATTCATTGGATAGGATTGTCAGAGAATCAAAATAATATTTAAGTATGGCCTAATTTAAGATCCCTCTTCTTGAGATTTTTCGAACTATGACAACATTTACTTCGCTCTAAAATGCCAACTGTGAAGAAATTTTGAATTAATTTGATTAAAGATGGGTTCCCAGAAAAGTATTTATTGGGTGGTTATTTCCAATAAAAGTATGGCAATTTTGGTATATATGGAAAGTAGAGATATCCAATCTTACTAGAAAAATACTGGATTCCCCGAAAAACACTCATGGAGCGTATACAGGACAAAAACGTAAGGGTTCCCCTAATCAACAGCCCGACGATTAAAAACTTCTGCACGCGTGATGTCAAAGGTCACAATTCTTAAGTGATCATCTTGAAACTTTACATACTTATTCCTTGTACCCTAAGGATGATCCCTAGTATTGTTTTTGGTGCATACCCGACCCCCAGGGGCAGAGCCACGTCCATTTCTAGTATTTGTTTGTTGTCTACAGGCCACATTTCTTAATGTATCATCTTGAAACTTTGCATACTTATTTTTGGGGTGCATGTCCCGACCCCCAGGGGCAGAGCCATGCCCAATTTTTGTGTTTATCATGTACAGGCCGCAGTTCTGAATGGATCAGCTTGGTACTTGGCATATATATTCCTTATAGCCTAGTGGCCTCAGCTATTGATTTTTTGTGAATGCCCCGACCAAATTTTGCCTTTAGCGCCCGAAGGCCACAATTCTGAATGGTTTGTCTTGGAACTTGGTACACTTATTCCTTATACCCTAAGGACTGCAACTGTTGATGTTGGTGCACGACCCCCTTCTCCTGCCTTTTCAGTGGTGCCACATCCACTATTTGTTGATATTTTGTCTGTAAATGATATACAGGTTGCAATTTTTAACAGATTTGGATCCAATTCGGAATGATCCAGCATAGGGTTGTACATACACACAAGCCAATTATATATATATTGGTCCATGTCCACCCCCCCAGGGACAGCCACGCCCAATCTTTGTGTTTTTGTCTACAGGCTGGAATTCTAAATGGATTATCTTGGAACTTGATATATTTATTCCTTAAACTGTAAGGATAGCAACTATTTATTTTGGTGCATGTCCCGAGTCCGACCCCCCAGGGGTGTGGTACCACACCCACTTTTTTGGTAGTTTTTATCTGTACATACTCTAGAGGTTACATTAATTAACAGATTTTGTTCAAATTCAGCATATCAATCATTTCAATAACAGGGTGGTACCTATTTATACTGTTCCATATCCAACCCCCAGGGGCAGAGCCATCCCAGTTTTTGTATTTATCGTCTACAGACTGCAATTCTGAATGGATCATCTTGGAACTTTGCATATTTATTCCTTATATCGTAAAGACAGCAACTATTTCTTTTGGTGCATGCCCCGACCCTCCGGGGTGGTGTCACACCCACTTTTTTGTTAATATTTTGTCTGTAAATTTGGCAAAACAAACCCAACGCTTAGCCTTTTTTTTGCCTCTTGTCATATTACAGCCATTTCATATTTCATTCTCTTCATTTTAAAAAGTACTGTTTTGGATTATAGAAACGATACTCGATTATATAGGAAACATGTTTATTAAAGGCTGTTGCCTTTCTATACTCAGTACTCACATCTTGACTATACAAGATTTTACAAAGAAAAACACATGGTTTCAAAATATGGCTGCCAACTCAACTTCTTACAACATTTTTTAACTCCAAAAAAAGAGAGTCAAAAGAAAACAAGAGTTGTCTCCCTTCAATCATTAATCATTTCAGAACACACTCCCCCCTTATTGACGCGAGGTCAATAAAATACACTAAAATTTAACATAATTCTTGAGATTTGAACTCTTAATAACAAAACTCTATATCTTGGATACTATTCTTTAAGATGCATTACTCTATAAGATTCTATACTCAAATACTAAGATTCTATACTCAAAATATTAAGATTCTATACTCAAAATATTAAGATTCTAAACTCGTTACATGTACTAAGATTCTAAACTCGTAAATACATATATAACACTGATTTCTAACTGTGTACTCCAATACTTATCAATAATAAGATACATTCTCTACTAATCTCTAACCAACTCTATTGGATACAATTTCTGTATAGGTCGATTCATAAATATTATTTTGCCCTGTTTGTTCTGACCTCTTACAACAGCGGATCGCACGTTATTATCACGACCTGGTAAAATTCTATCAACTCTACCCATTTCCCAATTTAAGCGCGATACTTTATCATCAAATACTAGCACAATATCACCCTCACGTATGATAGGACCTGTTTTAACTCTGGAACGATGATGCTCGCGTAATTGAGTAACATAGTCATTCCGCCATCTTGCCCAATAATGATTTATAACAGTCTGCAAGTATTTCTTGCGCTTGCAGAATTCTGAAGAGGTATTACCAACTACTTTAGGATTTGGAGTAAACAGCGGTTCAGACAATATCCTTCTCCCCAATACTAAATGCGAAGGGGTTAGGGGTTCTATACAATCATCGCTAAGATATGTAAGAGGACGCGAGTTTTAAACGCCTTCAATGTCCACTAATAAAGTCAGTAGCTCCTCATACGACAAATGAGCATTACCTAAAGCTTTTTTCAGGCATCGTTTAGTTGAACGCACCATACGCTCAAAAAATCCGCCCCACCATGGGGATCGTTCAATATTATAACACCATTTAATGTTCCTACTATTTGTAAAGGCTCGAAGTTCAGCACTCTTGAAAACCAATCCATTGTCTGAATTCACTAAAGTTGGTACTCCACGCCTTCCAATAAAACGTCGAAAACTCCTAATAAAAGAGGAAGAACTAGCGTCCGTTGCTAAATCTAAATGAACCGCGCGACTACTCGCACAAGTATACAACACTATGAACACCTTGTTCATCTCTCCACTCTTAGAATAAATGTCTTTAACGTATAATGGTCCAGCATAGTCCACTCCAATATTTGTAAAAGCGAAATCGTCAGAAAGTCGAAATTCTGGTAAAGGAGGCGCTAACGGAACTCCATAAGATTTACCTTCCATTTTACGACAAGGAATACATTTAGTAATCACAGCTTTAACAACTTGTCGTCCGCGACAAACCCAAAACTTTTGGCGCAACTGAACTAAAGTCTCTGCTGTCCCATTATGATGTACATCTCGGTGACACTTTTCAATAATCAAACTCGTAAAACGATGAGAATCTGGTAGGAAAATAGGAAATTTGGCATCAAACGGCAAATTAGAATTATCTATACGACCATAACATCTCAAAATACCATTGTCATCAGGTTTTAAATTAAGCGATAGCCTCTGTTGCTCAAATTTACGGCCACTCAAACTATGTTGAATATCTCTGCACCAGATATTTTCGGCACAATTAATTTCTTCCTTGGACAATTGATCTGTTTGGACTTGTACATTGTCTCTTTTATTCTTCACGAAACGCAAAACATAAGCAGTCACTCTTAGTAGGCTATTAAAGTTGCTATAGCGGGAAACGTCTAGTATATTTTCGATATTGTGATTAGTTTCGACATTTGCGACACAAACAGTTGCTTTCTTAACTTCAGAATAAAATGGTTCACTCAAAGTTTCTTCAACGTTCCTCGGCCAATTCTCTGTCGAACTTAGCAAGTATGGTGGTCCATGCCACCATAGATCATTGTTTACCAATTCTACTGCCTTGCATCCACGTGAGGCAACATCTGCAGGATTTTCTTTAGTTGAGCAGTAAGACCATTTACTAACGTCAGAAGAATCACGAATTTCAACCACACGATTATTCACGAACTGCTTAAACTCACGAGTAGTATTTTTAATCCAAGATAACGCGACTTGAGAATCAGACCAAAAATATACAGGCGCATCTACGATGTCCTTTAAAGCTTCTTTTACACATGCAGCTAGTCTAACAGATATTAAGCATGCTAGTAGCTCAAGTCTGGGTATAGATTGTTTCTTTAAAGGCGCCACACGCGTTTTAGAGGCAATTAAATTACAGTGTATTTCTTTAGTATCTGAATGTTCACATCTGATATATACACAAGAACCATACGCCTTTTCGGAAGCGTCACCGAATACATGAAATTGAATAGAATTCGCTTGCCGTAGTTCATAACAAATACAGCGGTTAATGTGCAAAGCCTTTACAGCAGATAGGCTAGACACTAAATTATTCCAATAATCACAAAAATTATTATCTAACGGATCATCCCAGTCTAAAGGATTTTCACACAACTTTTGAAAACATAGCTTAAACAGTAATACAATAGGTGATATTAAACCAACTGGATCAAAGAATTTCGCAGTTGTACTAAGAACCTGTCTTTTAGTTAAAGTTGCATTAACAATCATACTTGACAAAATTTTATCAAATTCGAATTGAAACATATCAGCGCTATTATCCCACTTTTGACCTAAAACACTGTTACAATCAAAATTTGAATTCTGAACAAAATCATTATAACCTGTATCGTCTTCGATTACATCAGTCTCCATTTTCTTAACATCAAATTCTACTTCAGGAAAATCACTGGACTCATGCAGCATAGACATTAACACTTGCGAATTACTACACCATTTTCTCATATTGAATCCACCCTGATTTAAACATAATTTAACTAATTTACATAAATCATAAGCAGAGTTTACATTATCTGCCCCAGAAGCAAAATCATCAACATACAATGACTTAAGAATATTATTCAAAATTTCAAAGTTATCATCCATAGAATTACTTAAGTGATAACGAAGGGTTGCATTTAAAATGAACGGACTTGAAGTCACTCCAAAGACCACTCTATTAAATCTAAACACTTTAATTTTAGGTGACTCGCTAAATGGATCATCAACCCATAAGAATCTAAGAAAGTCTCGATGCTCTTTATAAATGGCAATGTTCAAAAATGCCTTCTGTATGTCAGCAGTCAGAGCGATGGAATTCATTCTAAAACGAAGGAGAATATCGAAAATAAGCGGATTTAAAGAAGGGCCCGAGTATAAACACTCATTAAGACTAGGTCCACTTGTTTTACACGAGGCATCATACACAACTCTTAACTTAGTTGTGTCCTTATCTAAGCGTAAAACTTCTCTGTGCGGAATATAATGTATTGATCCAGAATTAATTATTACATCATCATCATTTACAATATCAATAATACCTTCAGATAATTGTTCATTAATTATTCTATCATATTCTTTAAGAACATCCGGCTTACTATTAAGTCGATACAAAAGAGATGATAAGCGTTTAACACACGTAGAATAATTATCAGATATTTTAAGATGATTTTCTTTAAATGGTAACTTCACTTCATACCTTTTACCCTCAAATGTGATATTATCATTAAAATCTGACAAAACACTAGATTCGTCATTACGAATACCCAAAGATTCAAGCTCCCAAAACTTATTCAACTCAGACTTAATTGAAGATACATCACAATTGTCATCAGATACAGAACTAACGTGCAATACATGCGTATGACTTAAATTAATAGTACATTGGTCACTACTCGAATTATTAATTACAGGGCCAGACAGCACCCACCCAAGTTTCGTCAACATTGCAACCGGGCCAGGGAACTCCCCCCGTCTCGTTTCGCCACAAAAGAAATTCCAATAGAAATCTGCCCCGATTAATATATCTACTGCAAAATCAGAAGGCCCAGATGGATTAGCTAATTTCAAACCCCGTAGATGAGGGTACTTTACTAAAGCATTACATGTTAATTGGTCGCTTATGGCATTGCATATAGAAGGTACACAATGCGCTGTAACATACAAATGTAAACCATCATCACCTGCAACAGTAAATTGAACAATATCACATAATCGTAACTTAGGAGTTTCCTCCCCAAAAGTTTTAAACAGTAAATTTTCACGCCCCACAGTTCTTAAATTTAACAATCTACGTGTTTCATCAGTAACATATGTTCTTTGACTACACAAATCAAATACAATGTTCTTATACAATCCCCTAGAATTATCATTATGATTAGCACATACAAAACCTACAGCAGTTTGTAACAAAATAGAATTTTGATCATCTGTACACGTCATGTTAGATGTCACAGTTTGACTCGGTTGTCCGGTTTCAGTTTTATTAACATAACTAGGCCGCCTTAAATTTTGTTCAGGCCTATAAGTACAAATGGCTTTATTGTGTCTTTCTCCGCAGTTAAAGCATTTATAGTCACGATTAGGACAATTTCGTAACACATGTCCAGAGCGCAAACACAAAAAACACTTTGCTTTATGACGTAAAATAGATTTGCGAGCTGAAATGTCAGTAACAGAAGTGCAATTCACAGATGGGTGTTGCTGAGTACAAAACACACAGTACGGAACAGGTCTTTGATCTTTACTCGAAAATAAAGTTGAAGCTGTTGAGGGATTAACCCGGTTCGATCTGGATTGAGGACTGTATACGTTGTTCAAAGAATACCCGGATTTCTTGGTAGAATTACTATGCATTAAATCGACTCGCTCTCTAGCTTCAAGTTCAGTTTTTAAAATATCTAAGACCTCGTCCACACTCCAATCTTTAACTCCACGGCTAATAAATAAACGTAACTCTTCAGGAAGTTTATTCATGATAATAGGAATAAGAATATTACCATACGATTCAGACTGTACACCCATAGATTTTAGACTTCGTATCTGGACCTCAATGGTGTCGTATAATCTGCGAATATGTTTAACTTCACAACCACTCGTAACAGATTGTAAATTTAGTAAAACGTCCATATGCCCAGAAATAATAACTTGCTTATTTGCAAACCTATCTTTTAAAAGCTGAATTGCTGCATCATAGTTTTCGCCTATCAAGGACAAACCTGCTACACAAGAAGATGCCGGTCCGTCCAACAGACTCTTTAAATAATTAAATTTCTCAACATTTGAAATGGCACTGTTATTATCTACTGCAGCCTGGAAGCTATCCCAAAAAGGCTGCCACAACTTTGAATCACCAGAAAATCTAGGCAAACACAATTTTGGCAATTTAGTCTTACAGACAAAAGTTTCTTTCAATGAATTACTAGGGCTACTCAAATCAGAATTATCAGCTATACTGGTACTCAATTTTTCACTGGCCTTCTCATTCTTATGTAAACAAAATTTGATTTTATATAAAGTTCTATTAATAGTGTCCGCAAATTCACTTGATTCAAAAATATCATTACCCACTTCATCTTCGTCTTCAATATCTTCCAATACTTTTTCATCGTAAGATGCTAAAACAACTTTCTTTTCCGTTAAAGAAATTCTGTATCCTTCTAAACTTTCAACTGAAGAAGGAGATCCATCAAATTCGGCTAATAATTCTTGAACACTTTGAATAATTCGGGTAACAAAGGCCCTATGTCCCCCTCTGATGCGTTTGTTTTTCTTGGCCACATCACTACGCCTGTCTGCGTCGTTACTGGTCGTAGACATGATAATAAATGTCAATACTTTATAGGATTAAGATAATAAGGTCGACTGGCACATGAACTTAACTCAAGAGATTGACTGACATAACTGTATCCGTCTCGTCGGACCATGTTTTGGATTATAGAAACGATACTCGATTATATAGGAAACATGTTTATTAAAGGCTGTTGCCTTTCTATACTCAGTACTCACATCTTGACTATACAAGATTTTACAAAGAAAAACACATGGTTTCAAAATATGGCTGCCAACTCAACTTCTTACAACATTTTTTAACTCCAAAAAAAGAGAGTCAAAAGAAAACAAGAGTTGTCTCCCTTCAATCATTAATCATTTCAGAACAAGTACCATATCAATCAAAGCAGGAATGTGGACATATATTACAGTGTAAGCGATGCTCTCTTTTTTTTTCAGAGGGTTCATAAAGAATTGTATGGTCCTTTGATGGTGATATTTACATTGATAGCATTGTTACTGTTTCAAATGAAAACATCAGATCATAAAGTTGTAAGTTTTCAGACATTTTTACTGAAATTGTAAATCAAAGAACATCTATTTCTGTAATGTATTATGCTGAATTGCTGATCATAATGACATGACGCAGCAAATTCTGTACAGTCCCATGTTTAAAAATTCCATTTTCAAAGGCAACTACAACTAGTAGACATGGAAAATATTACTATTACTGAGACTATTTCGTAAAATATAAAATAATAAAATTTTGATTTTGTTTTCTTTAAAGTAGCTTGGTCTTCAGAGACTACTTTATTCTAAGCTTGTATGTGAGAGTAGGTAGGGTGACCTGCACAACCTCCAGTTTCCTCCCACTGCTGAAAAGACCCTTACACACAAGCGAATTACTGAAATGATTGTATGTTACTACAAAAATGACATAGTTTTTATCGCGTGGATGTTAAACCCCTTTTCTAAAAGTATTAAATAATTCCATTGATGTAATTTAGGAAGAAGGAACGTTAATGGGTACAGCTTTTGGTGTATGTTTTATATATTGGTTTGGAGCCTCAGGTTTAGTGTGGGTTTTATCGTATATCTGTGGTGTAAGAATCGCCATGTTGCAGATTTTATCTCTCATTGTAAGTATTACAGTTTAAACGTCTTTATAAAGGCCAAACATGGCAGAATAAAGGTTAAATGTAGAGTCTATGTGCATATTTGGATCAAAAGCCATATTCGCTCCAATATTATTCAAATTCATCAATGGTAATGTGATTTTGGAAACAGTTTTTTGTCTCATGTGCATGCCTGTCTGTTCTTAATGATGTTTTTTTTTGTAATACTATATAGTAACAGTATTTTTTACATTAAAATAGTACATACATATCAAGACCTTTCCGAACTTTTAAATGTCTTTCAAAACATCAATATTATAAGCTTAATTATTAGTGTAAGTACTGTAAGCTGACTTTTGCTTTGCGATGGTTACTTTTAAACTGAGCTTCGTACATTTGTCTGAACTTTTGATGACTGAATCTTCTTGTTCATCATTGGTCTGTTGAATTTAAAGTGTCAGTGGCTGAATTTGTTAGGTGTATATTATAAAATGTAACATTCAGCACAACATGTTTGATTTCAGATGCTCTAAAATGTGTTATTACATTCTTTTTATTGTGTTACTGTTTCTCCATTACAGGGTTATGCATTGTTCAGTCATTGTATTGTTCTATTTTTGGGTACAGTCATACATACATCACATGACCATATGTTGTTTTATGTAACATGGGCTGTGATAGGTGGATTGTCAACAGCTAAAATGGTAAGCAACTCCCTTCTTAATCTTTCTTTGACAATATTAGTCTATTTGGGGTCAATAGACAGATTCATTCAGACCATTTTAATAGAAATAAAGACAACTCATCTAGTATCTGCCTTGAAATTTAATGATATCCATGAGAATTATGTTCAGTATACAGCAGGGCCTACTCTACAGAATTAGGTTTGTTCAACATGTTTGGTTTTCTTGAAGATCAGTAAAACATTCCAGTTAATATTATTTGCTTTATAAATTGATATATTTTGTTCTATAGGCATGTGTGGTATTTTCTAGAGCCAGTGGTAAAACAGAAAGAATAATAGTGATAGCTTTAATAGCTGTATTACATCTATCTTTTCTACTTTATTTACATTTTGCTTATCACTCTGTTGTTGAAGGTAAATATGTAAGGCCTTATAAAAATATATTCTGGTTCTTAGATAAACCCACGTCACTTCAAAAATCGAAACAGTTTCTTTAATTACCGCACATAAATATTTTAATCCGGTTACAGGAAGTAAATCAATAAAAAAAATTGAACGAATGCATATGCTCTTGTATCAAGTATACAACGCTAATAAATTGGATCAGTAATGTCTAAATGATACTAGATAATCATATATGCCTATTAACAACATGATGAGATAAATGTTGTGCCTTGACATTTGATGTGTATGTGAAGTCATTTGAGTAGTGATCCTTTGACAAAATAAAAACACAAATATAAAATAAAAAACTCCTTCATCAGATTTTTAGTAAAGATTATCTGATAACCAGAATATTTTTTGGGTATGGCCTTAATTAGCTTGTATCTTTTAATACTAGTACAGGTCACGAAATTCCACGTGAACGATACCAATCGGTTATGTGCAGTCGCGCCAGCTCAAAAACATGTAGCCGATTTCCTGGTTATGCAAGTTGAAATATCGGTTACGTTAATTTTCATTAACAGATTTATTCACATTTGATCAATTTTTATACAGGATGACTTTGTGACACAGGTCTAAATTATTAGTATTATAGCTTTTAAATTAACGGTCAGCACAACATTTCTTGGCATTTCATTTCTCTATCTTACCAGTACTTTGACAGATAAGTATTTTGACATCACGTATTGACCAGTTGCAAGCAGATTGATTTAAAAATGCCCCCACCTTCTATTCTTTAAATGATTAGTTATACCATAAATATTTGAGAGCGTACTTTTGGATTTTCAAATAAAACATGTCAGCTATATTTCCAAAGAATTTACTACACCTGTTCTTTTCACTATAGACATGCTGTACGGTAGTACCAATGACCCATATGTATGTTGTCAACTTTGACCCCCACCGGCACATTGCATCGCTCGAGGGATAATGTAAACATTTTACTGTCCGATCTATTCTAATATTATTTCATCACATCAGACTATTCTGTTTCTTTTTGAGATTTTGTTTATAGAGTGCTGAAGTTAATAAATAGTATTGTCACTCATGCTACGTGCTTGAAAGAATGCTAATAGCCTATACGAACAGGAATTTAAAGACGTTAACTTAAATCTGTGATTTATTACAAATTACGTGCAATATGAAGTATGTATGTGGTTTTCGGTGACAGGAAACATTATGGTAGCTATCAATCCAGGTTTTTGAAGGTCAGATATGATATAAAAATGAAAATCCATTAGTAATTTTTCCAACCGATTCATCTCTGCAACCAAACCGTTTATCTGAGTACCTTTTATGTACATCAGGGATCTTAATTACTTGATTATAGTCGGCTTCAGCCGCTTGATGTTTGAAAAAGCCAATTAATAAAAGAATTACTATACCGACCCCTATGGTATCATAAATCCAACTACTTTCTGCTAAATTAATACAACAGGTTAATTATTACTTTTTGATAAGAAGTCAATCAGCTAGCTTAGAAAGTTACTTAAAATATAGGGATTTAGTGAAGTGGTGCAAATTTTTCTAATGCTTTAATGGGGACACTGTGGGATTAATGTCATAAACACTTAACCTCAAAACAGGGGCTAAGTGATAGGGATGCAATGACAAGCTTTGCGTCTTGGTTTTGACTTTTTGCACCCCCTTAAAAATGTCAAAAAAATCACACGGTTTCAATGTGGTTTTCAACATTATAATCGTAATGCTCAACCAGTGTCAAACATATACCATGGGTCAGATATGCTACAAATCAACTCTAGCATGTTCCACACAGCTCAATATTCTCAGCGGCACTGGGAGGTACCCCCTTCCCCCATACACACATAAATATTTTTTTTTTTTTAGTGGGGATAGGGGGGCTGGGTTGGATCTTGTTCCTCATGCAAAACCATAGGTCACCACGTCCCTGTCTCAAAATATAATATTAAATATAAAAAAATATAAATTAGTCAAGTTGTTTCTTTAATAAATACATTCACTGCAAGTGGAAATGAATAAACCCACAACCATTTTTCTGTAAAGAAATCCATATTTGTCTCAAGATGATGGAAGCCAAGTTTTGAGGAGATATTGAACGTTCTCTATTTCATTTATCTTGCTCCTAGAAGTGTAAAATCAATTTTTATTCTCTTTTTATTCTCAGAAATATCAATGGTTTTAGACTCAAAGTTAATACCACCACCAATAGCCCAAGAACAAATCAATCAGAAAATGGAAAGAGCTATGAATTATGAGAAAGTTGTTCCTGATATTACCAAGAGTAAGACTTATTAAAGATGGGTTCCCGCGTACAAACTGGGTGATTTAATGGTATATATGGACTAAAAACATATTCAAACTAATTAATTTGTCATAATTATGCTTCAAATCCTTCTCAAACATTGTAATTGCGAAGGAATGCCCTGCTATTAAAATTCAATCAAACCAGGTCATGTTTACGTCACGTCTTGGGAGTCAGAGGAGAATTCATTGCATACATAAGACGATGTTGTCTTTAATCGCTTACTATTTATTACAAATATCGAATCCTAATTAAATTCTCGGATTATCCACTACCCGTCATTTTTATCTCAGAAAGTATTGTACATCTAACTCTTCATAAAGTTTATCAACTTGTACATCAAGCGCTCAATGTTCGCTTGTGACCTTTGACATCACGCGTGCAGAAGTTCCTAATCGTCAGGCTGTTGATTAGGGGAACCCTTACATTTTTGTCCTGTATATGCTCCATGAGTGTTTTTCGGGGAATCCAGTATTTTTCTAGTAAGATTGGATATCTCTACTTTCCATATATACCAAAATTGCCATACTTTTATTGGAAATAACCACCAGATAACTACTTTTCTTGGAACCCATCTTTAAACTTTAAAAGGAACTAATAGCTTATTTAGTGCAGACTTACATTTGACCTTAGTTTTTTATTATTTGCACTATATATGCACAATTATGAATTATGTAACTGTAGCATAGGCTAGGTCACCAAATATTCTGATATTTACCTAATGATCACCATGACACTACAAAGCAAAAGGTAAATAATAACAATCAACTTTAACATTAGTGGTTGACAGTCTGGAGAGGCAGAACAGAAAAGCCTTACTTTTGGAGATTTTATTTTCTAAAAGAACTACTGTGTAGTAACTTAAGCAATTGTCACTTGCAGTTGGATATTCGTTGAATTAAGTTCAACCCTACCTTTGACAAGTGTTTTCTGGCCTAGTACCCTGTTGTTGTTTAATCTGCACCTGTGTGTTAATATAGTTTCTCTTACAGTAATGAAACATTTTATATTACCTCCTCTGTTAAAGTTCTAGTTAGAATTCCTATTACCACCAACACTCATCTACAGTACTCTTCTGGCGAGTGAGATGCCAATATGCAATTTTTATACACTGTAAAATTACATGTTATTGTGGTCATCTATTGTAATACCTGTGTCTTTACTACATACTCTACAGACTTCAAAACCAATTTCAAAACTGTCAGAATAGTTATCATCTGGATAAAGATGGCCAGTGTTTTGAGCATTCCAGAGATGGTTGCCCCTGGGTGATACAGTTATTGATAACATAGGGAATGTTTGATTGTCAGTTCAGAACATCTTGAATTGACAGAATTACAATCCAGTGACACAGAATTCAGTCCTGTCATATTCTGCTGTTGGTGCATACGTTTTATCCCGAAATCACCCTTTTCAGTTGATTGTCACTATTTTTGGGATTGAGTGAATTTAATTCCGGACCGTTCAATCGAGTATCCCCATACATTACAGTGCTCACTTTAAAGTGTTCAACTCTTGACATATTGACGTATATGATTGTTAATAAATGTACATAACCATACCCTCTCTACAATTCTGGACAGATTTTCATCAGTTTTTTTTTTTTTTAGAAATAATTGGTATTGGGCTAAATATGATCTCTATTAACCATATTCTTGACAGATTAAGACACCGACAATTAAATTTCTCTAGCAAGGGATATTGAGAGACAATCAAGTACAAATCTACAAATGCTTCTAATGTTTATTTGTGTTTAGTTCCTTAAAATTCGAAGTGAAAAAAAAAATCAAATAATCTGAAAATATATATTGTCATGAACACAGATTAAATTTTAACATCATTATTCAACTAAAAGCATTATTGGGGAATAAATCTAATGAGATCAACTGTTGTCATAAGTTCGTCATCAAATTACCATCCATTACCTTGCTTTGTTTGGTTAAGCAATTGAAAAGAAAAAAAAAATTCAACCAAGATGAAAATATGTATTGTCAGTCATGAACCCAGATTAAATTCTAACATCATTATTCAACTAAAAGCATTATTGGGGAATAAATCTAATGAGATCAACTGTTGTCATAAGTTCGTCATCAAATTACCATCCATTACCTTGCTTTTTTTGGTTAAGCTCACTTTAGGCCATGATATAATTTCAGAAGTTGTAAACATGGTGAAACCTATCATACCAAATGACACACTAAATAAACTTCGTCCAGCAATCAATAATACACTAAAGAATGTTATAAGACAGGCTCCAACCATGATGAATAAAATGAGTGGACTTGCTCTTCACATGGTTAATAAAACTCTTGAACATAGTGACACACTTAAAGTTATGTGATTGAATTACTGTCAGGTCAGTGAATTTAGTCTATTCTATCACACTATTATTTCGGATCCTTTGTGCTGATTTTCTTAATGCTATGGCTGAAGGGTTTTAACTTTTCCATTCTGGATTTGTTCTTTAGATTTGTAATTTATTTTTGTATTGTTAAAATCTTTAGTGTGTTTGGCTGCCTTAGTATCAGAGACTGTACCATGTAACTAGTATTATAGTACATGTATACCCCTTTGAGCATAATTTATACAAATTCTAGGATATGGGATATTAATGTCTGGTGCTGGCTTCATTAATCCATCTAAGTATTTGTTCTATATGCTCTTTCTCAATACGGAATAAAATACACAATTGCATTGGTGACCAAACTGGTCCACTTACCTTTTGCTTTCTGTATTTCTACACACTGATCAGCAGTGAATATTAGCTTTGCCGCTACAATGACTGAGAGGGATGACATCAGTGCAGGTTATTTATCTTGCAATATTAACCTTTTTCCTTCTGTAAATTAAATTCTAGAACATTTTTTTGAAGTATTAGAATTAGAAAAATAAATAAAGGTGTTTGAAGTATATTTAGGTAAAAAATATTTCCTATGTAAACAATGCACTCGTCATCCAGCCAATGATCCATGCCTTGTGATGTGACGTGACGTGACGTCACATGTAGAATGCATGTGAACTTGATAATGGTCAATCATCTTGTACAGAGGTATAAGATGGCTTTTGTAATATCACTGTGAAACAGATTAGTACTTCTACCGGGTATACAAATATGCATGCTCTGAACATCTGGATTTTACTTTTGTTACTTTTTTACTTAACCTGACTTTTAGAGACTCTTTATTTTTATAGATACACTGTATAAAACATTTGAAACAAATCTTCTATCATATCTTTGGGCATTGTATCAGCTTATTTAAAAAGTTTTTAAATTATATTAGTTTAAGGGCTCACCCCAGATCACAAGTTATGATCATTATTAATTTAAGATAAATAAATTTGACTTTTTAAGAACGATTTTGGAAATTATATGTACGTAGACACCTTTTGTATCTAGAATTATTAGAAGGCTAATGTAAATGTTCAAAACATGGTTTATTAAAGAATATTTTGGTCCTACATTTATTCATATCGATCAATTCTAACTTAAGTTATGGCCGTATTAAGTTTACATTGATTTCTATTAATTTGATACCACCATTTTAGATTTTTATCTTTCTTAGACAAATATGTAAATAATCTTATTAAGGTTTTCCTACATTATATTTAAATGTACTTGATAATAGTTTTAAAATAGTACATATTTCTGACGGCTTTTGAAATAAATGTGAATGGTCTGGTTTGTTGTGCCTTCAATTAAACTATTCACTCTAAATCAATCACAATGCATAATTCCCATAGTAATTGTATAGAGTCACAAAAGTATTATTTAAGATGTTTTTATATCAATTAAATAATCTTTTTAAATTCTATTTATTTTACAGATAATAAAATAAGATTTGTTCTATTTCAGATGTTTTACAGTAGCAGAGTGTATTAACTTGAGATAGATGACCTTTATTGAGCCCATTTAAACAAAAACAACAGATATTAAAATAACTCAAATTGTCCAGTTGTGAATAATGAAGAACTGCATCTTCTTCGTGTTGGTTATTTTTTAAAAACATTAATTTTATTTTTGTTTGTGGGTATAGATGTGTACAAATATTTCCATGTTCTTATTAAACTGATAAGAAAAAGAAATCCAAAATGTTATATATGACAAAGTTCAGAGATTCCAAGTTATTGATCTTAAAAATTCTTCATTGTAATTCAGAAATGACCCATTAATTGCTATTCTGCTGCTGTATATTGATAGTTATTATTTATATTAGATGTGTTCACCATAGATATTCTTTAATATAAGACATTAAAGATACATTATTCAAAAGCTAAATCTGCTTGTTGCAGGGCTTTATCTCAGCTCACCATCAAGATTATCAACATACACATCAAGCATTTACTAACGCTGGGAGATCAGACAATCTTCACGTGCAACCTTTGACGTCACTCTAGCCGACATCCCTAATCATCGTGTTGCCAGTTAGGGAAACCCTTACATTTTTGTCCTGTATGCACTCAATGCATGTTTTTCTGTGAATCCAGTATTTTTCTAATAAAAATCTTATTAAGATTGGATGTTTCTACTTTCAATATACCAAAATTGCCATACTTTTATTGGAAATAACCACCCGATAAATATTTTTGTGGGAAAGTATCTTTGTCAGTTTCATCATTAAAACTGGTTGTATAATCTCAATGGTTTTCTTTCCAATAGCAAAGCTACAGACAAATATGGAGGTTATTAGGTTCTATTGCATTATTTCATTACATCATGTATTTGGCAGTGTATATTTCTATACATTTAAAGTCATTGTATATAATATCTTATGTACTGTATATATATATGTAAATAACATTACTTTTTAAAATGTATTATATCACTGTTTGAGAAATTGTATGATTTATATTATATTATATAAACTAAATATTTACTTAAATATATGTATAAAAACAACTGTACAGGTGGAAAATAAAACTTTAATGGATTCAACATTGTTGTCACAATGTCGATAATTATATGAATAAGAGCACTAACTTGATTACTAGCAATAAATGGCAATTGGCAAAGGTGGTCAGGCTAAAAAAAATGTGCCCATTGTTATCCACTTTAAAAGTTTCCAACCTCGTGGGTTTTCCCGGGTCCTCCGGTTTCCTCCCACTGCTAAAGACCCCTACGCGCAAGTGAATTATTGACATAAAATTGAACCATATGTTAGTCCCGAAATGACCTAGTTTGTGTCGAGTGGACGTTAAACCCCATTTCTCTCTCTCTCTCTCACTTTAAAAGTTTGAGTTCCCAGAGTAACCCATGCCGTTGGCAGTGCCATGTGATTACATAAATAACCCTTTGCGAAGTACTAATATACTGCTGGTTGGTTTGTTGTATTTTAAAACTTAATTTAATCATATCCCTGTCATATTTCTGGCCGATTAAGGGGTGGGTAAACAGATGGGTGTATAAAATTAAATATACTGACAGTTATGCAATGGCGTATGTAGGATTTAAGAAATGAGAGGGGTATAATCACCCAATCTGTTTCACAGGGTTAGTGCAAAATATTTACAGCTGATCAGTCTGGAAATGAAATGGTGTTGTAATGTCCTACTGTTCTGCTCTGACTAGGCTAATGAAAACATGCATATATGCCATACGGTGTGCTATTAGGGAAATTTTCCCTGGGCAGCGGCACTTTGGCCTACTCTTATATCGAATTCCAATTGTCAAGGGATCTTTTATGTGCACGCCAATGTGTACACAGGACCTCGAATTCCAACTGCCTTAGTATGTGCACGTCTATGTATACACGGCACCTTCGGTTTTTCGTGCCATTCGAATGACTAGACAGCTGCCCTTCTCAGGCCCTTCGTCCTGCACCACTGACAAGGGGAAACCACGTTGGAAAATCCTGATGAACTTTCTCGTCCAATCAATGCAGGGATTGAACACGTCCTGACCTCCAGGCTAGCAAGCCAACGTGACTCACTGATCAGTTTTGTAAGCACCCCCAAAGCAACATTATGTTAACTGATTCATTTATTTTTTTTTCTAAATAGCACAATATTGAGTATTGACCCATTTGATACCATTTTTTGTTCTATCTATTTGCATTTCTCTGTCTCGTCGGTTGTGCATTATTTATTTAGTGTGTGCACTGATTGACCTCGTTTCTTTTGTGCAATCTTCACGGCCAGACGCACTTCCCCCGGACCGTGGCACGGTGTTATTTATTGCAATTTTCAGTCTTTACATGAGGGCTAACTATATAAATGATTAGGGTTTTTTTAAACAGATATCTTAGACACGCAATTCGATGGGCTAATGCTTAGAGCTGAAATCATTAGTCCTTGAAATGTGGTATGGGTAAGAGTTGGTCATTACAGAGTGCAAACTATACAAATGTGAAACCCATTCTCCATGTAAAGGCACTCTATAAATAAAGCTGGAATAAATGCTTTTGCTTTAATGGATGGTGACCCTAAGAATAGGCTATAGGGATAATCTAACTCCGGAATGTTTACCCGTGTTCGAATTTCCAGGTGTTGGCCGAGAAAATTCATCTATTTTCCGGCGTGGTAGCCCCATGACAGTGGTTCGGGCATGGACAAAGTATAGTCGTTCGGATGGGGCGAAAAACCAAGGCCCCGTGTCCACATTGGCGTACACGTAATATAACCCTTGGTAGATGGAATTTGAAATAAAAATAGACCGTAGTTCCGCTGTCCTCTCAAAATTTCCCTCATAGCGCTCTGGCGGCATAAATGCCCGTCTTCATAAGCCCAGTCGGTGCAGAACAGGAGGACGTTAATCTCACTTTATTTCGAATTTCCGCAATAGTAATAAGCACTGGTACCAATATAAAGTTTAAAGTAAATCAAGATAATGGCCTATGCTAGAATTAATCATAGTTGTAATATTCATTTAAGAAAAGAATAATGACTTATACTGTTTTAAACACAACACAGCCATTGATTGACCCGGAATTAACCAGGTGAATGGATTTCTGATATGTCATTAATTGTAACAACTTGCCAATATTGATTACCACAGCGGATAAAACCATATTCGTGATGTCCTCTACCCATCTTTTGTATAGCTGATAACGTTTTATGTCTAAAGCTGTCAAGATGTGTAAATTAAAAAGAAAATCATTAATTGGCTATTTCCAATATTAGAAATTTAATGTGACACACGTAATAATAGTAATTCCTTGATGGAATAAATTCAGTACTTTTTAACGCCAACATTTTCATATGGACGCATTATGTCGCCGCTCCTGTTTGCGGATACTTTACAGAACACAAAACACAATTCTTATCCATTTTTACGAAACTTAAAATGTATGTTTATATCCTGAAGAATAACTTACATTATGATAGATGTGACAGAATGAGTTATTAGGAGTTATTAAAGATACATTATGGAAGATTAGATATAAAGAGCTGGTAGTTCTCACTAGTTAAAAACTAGATGATGTAAAGTGAATATGTTTAAAATTTCAGTCAAATTGCTTCACTCTAAGCCGAGAAAACCTTATTATAAAACCATGTAGCCTCGATTGTCATTGTTACCGCTGTCAAGATAATTAACGAAGTCTCGATTATCCATTAATCATCAACGGACGTTGAACAGCAGATCGGATTCAAATCCAGTAAAAATCGGACAGATAAGATGGCATCGACTGTTGATTATGGTCTTTTCATGTTAATAAATGTCTAATTAATAGTTTATATAACATTTCAGGCTTAAAGAAAGACCTGCAATAAGCAGATTTACCTCTTGCATAATGCATGTTGAATAATGAGTCCCAGTACCATACCGTTATTTTCAAAGAAAATTGAGAGCGTGATTCTATATTCGCTGTCTGATTAAACCAGTGATTCTCAACCAGTGTGCCGCAGAACACAGGTGTGCAGGGAGATCTTCCTAAGTGTGCCCCGAAATTTTGAACGGCACACTAAGAAAATTTCTCACTAAAGAAGCCAATAAAATAAGTTCATAGCTGTGTTTTTCTTTATTTAGTTTGGGTCATTCTATGTGTCTATGAACAGTCTGTGTCAACGGTTGTATGCCGTCTATAACTTGCCATGTTTCTATTTTGCAAAATTAAAATATTTTTCATATATTTAGCAAGGTGTGCTTCTATTTTTTTTCGTGTGTCCCAAGGTGTGCCGTTGGCAAAAGAAGGTTGAGAACCACTAGATTAAAAGTATACCAATATTTCGTTTCTTTCTTGTTTTTCGACCATTTACACCACCTCGTCTTAATGTAAAGCGCATTCAGAAATTTGCAGGCTTTGATTGGTGGACCCAAGAACAATCAACCAATCAAAACCCGACGAGTGTATTTTTTCGTCTGATCGCGGCGATTGATATTTCGCCAGCGATTTTATACGGCCGATCACGATCGGGCACACCTAGCGATCGTCTCTAAGCCTACGCCACCCTGCGAGTAAACTACGTCGATCGCGTGACGTGTACAAAATGACGAATCGCCTAAAACGGAAGCTTGCTGTGGTAGCTGATATTTATTTGCGGTAAGCGTTTTTTTTTTATCCACTGGAGCCAGGTGTTATGACGTCATATGTGGATTGTGGGTTAGGATAAGGGTTTGGGTAAGGGCTGTGACCTGCAGATTTCGTCAGAGTCTCGAGATGTAGACAGGGCTAGCCCTAACCCTAACTCATTCCTAACCCTTATCCTAACCCACAATCCACATATGACGTCATAACACCTGGCTCCAGTGGATGGAAAAAACGCTTACCTTTATTTGCTTCTAAAACTCTGGAACCGTGACGTCAGACAGGCAAGGTCATTCTTACCAAAGACTCACCAGTTGTTCTTTCGTCATTTTGAGATCATGTGATATCAATGAAGTCCCCAATTAGCTTATGAAAAAGGTTCGCTCGACAATATACGCTGGACACGGGCAGACGAGCGGATATGCCGGCGAATCAATCGCCGGTGTAAATATTCGGCCGAAAATATCTAACATGCTAGATACGGGCGATCCGTCGGGCGAATGCTTCGGCGAACAGAATCGTCGTCGCCGTAAACGGGCACACGGGCGATTTTTTGAAGCGATTTTAAAAACTGGCTTTATCGGGCGAAAAAATACCATTAGGTGTAATACAGAAAATTCCGCGAAATCTTTTGAAACGCGTTGATTATCCAGCCATATGATTGGCAGTCTAATCAAAGCCAAGGGTACAGCTTTGGTTGTGGCCCATATCGCGCTTGGCAGTATTTAAAGTGACATTTTTATATGCAAGAACTTTTTTAAAAAATTAAATCAACCTTTCCATAATATCATTAATGGTGTATTTGGCGTTAAAATGATAATACACACCAACATACGGCGCTTTTCTTGCGTAAGATGTTAATGACGTGATCAATTACGGAAACGGAAAAAAACAACTAGTTTTAATTTGAATGATAATTTCGATCTCAATGGATTTTGAGTATAGTTTCGATAATTCCGTATTTGTGTTGTTATTATCGGATTTAATGTTCGATTGTTGGTTAAATAGAACATTGACATCAACACATTTAATGTTATGAGAAACCATGGATACCATCATATTTATTTGTATGCATACCGATAAATTTTATTGGCACATTAAATTTGTTTGTTTTGTATGACTGTACTTATTGAAAGTGATCAAATCTATTTCATAAAGCAAGTCGTTTTATTTGAAATTAATGGACTTGCTATATTTTCTCATCGAGAACCTTAAATAAGTATCACGCTGTAATATGTTTTTTTTAAAATAAAATATCTAGGAAAGATCTGAGAAAACCACAGGGTCCCATTAGTGCCAAAGAAATTTTTTTTTATCCGTTTGAACGAATAAGTAAAGATATAGTAAAGAATCAACGTATTAAATCACAACATTTTTAGTTAAACACCTGTTAGAATCACAATTTATGCATGTCCCTTCCACGCTTCTATACAATCGAAATCTTAATTCGTTCAAACGAGATAATTACTTCGTACAAACAAGATAATTAATTCGTTCAAACGAGGTAATTAATTCGTTCAAACGAGATAGTGATAATGTTATGCGCGTGTTGGATTTATGTACACGAAGAGACTGGGATCACAAATTATACGGCTTTCGCTTTTGCAAGGGAGTGGACTAAGGGTGGGGGATTAGTCATCATAATTAAAAATGTGATAATACATAAATTTACCAGTTGAAAATTTGTATGATACTATTGTGGTTATTAAAATATATGGATATGTAGAAACTCTGTATATTCTTGCATGCTATTTCCCACCCTATGGTACCATTTTCTGTAATAAATATTTTGTTAAAGATACATTATGGAAGATCGGATAAAGAGCTGACAGTTCTCACTATAATAGATAAAAACTAGATGATGTAAATGGATTATGCTGAAAATATCAGTCAAATTGCTTCACACTAAGCCGAGGAGACCATCGATTTTCATCGTTACCGCTGTCATGATAATTAACAAAGTCTCGATTATCCATTTTTGCGTTTTATCACCAACAGACATTGAACAAGCAGATCGGATTCAAATCCAAAGAAAACCGGACACATAAGACGGCACTGAGAGTTGATTATGGTATTAAAATTTTTATGTTAAAAATGGTGAACCGTTCTAATCTAGATAAAAACCTCGAGTATCCGATGCCATCGAGAGTTGGTTATGGTCTTGTACTCTTGTTTTGTTAATAAATGTCTAATTAATAGTTTATTTAACATTTCGGATTTAAAGAAAGACCTGCAATAGGCAGATTTAACTCTTGCATAACGCATGTTCAATCTATTTATCACAGGCGCCCGTAACGTGGAAAATATTTCATAAATAACACATAAATATGACTAAGTATTTGTTCAAACGAGATACTAATTCGTTCAAACGAATTAATATATTTTTTTTCTGTTTAGAACTAATGGGCCTTCATAAAAAAATAGTGCGAACGACAGGGAAAAAGATGTTCACCAATAGACCTATAATCAATTTACAATCTGTAAATTTTAATTTTAACGTAGTCCTACTGGCGTTTCTTTAGATCGATTTCTAATTGAAAGGGAAATTGCCCGATATATTTCAGTGAATCGATACGTTTTCCAACAAAAGATATTGTCAAGGTGGGTGGGTGGGGGGGGGTAGTCATTCTGCACACAGAGATCCATCTACTTCATATTTCGAGAATAGACCTCTGCTCTAAATGGCCGCCATATCTAAACATTAGTATACTTTTTTGTAATTAGGTTCTACTCCGTTTCCCATCTTTCATACACACAAAGACTAAATAACATTTTCAATTGTATTAAATGGAAGCAGAATAAATCCTTAACAAAATTCTCGAAGTTTATATTAGTTGCCAATTGGTGATTAAGATTCATATTGAAAACTTGGATGATTTGATGATTTTAAACATTAGTTGCCAATTGGTGAATACAATTCAGAGTGAACATAAATTCATAAAATCTTTAACACCGTTCATTGGGTCCTGTTAACAACATGCCTCTCTTCAAACGGAAGCCGACAAATCCATATCTGCGCCTTCGTCGGAAGGATTAATTTTGGTCACGCTCTGTAACGGCGCCGTCGTGCTGATTATAAAATGTTAATTATGTCTTAAATATTGGATATTAGGATCCTATAGTTTCACGACAAGACAACAACATCAATATTGATTGAAATATTGATCAATTTTGAATTTTAATTTCGAATATTATGGAAAATATTGAGTTAGAGACTTAGATCCTTTAAGTATTTCGAATGTTCCCTTCAATTTTGTTAGTCTTATTAATTTATTTTGTCGCTGATGCATAATTTTGCGACCGATTGCACTTATTGTGCCATCAACTAATTTTTTTCGGGGTCGGGGGCAACGAAAACTATTGGCAAGCACTTTTCTTAAATCTAATTAGAATGTGTAAGAAAGAAAAGCGAAACATGGGTGAATTTATATTTATTTAGTAAAATACAACACGAATAAGATAAAATACAAACAAGTGAAATATTGCGACACATGGACGGATATTAAAAGACAATACTGATCTTTTTATTATTCGTTTCGTCTAAGCTCCAGAACGGTTCCGCCTTCGAGGGCGTTCTTTGTTCAGACATAACATAATACATAATCTCAATGTACAAATTGTAATCATAAGCATGTGGTAGCTCGGTGCAACATAAAAAAGGTAATTTTAATATAAGATACATACCAACATGAATTCCACTCTTAGAGTAAACACGAGACATCCTTTTATTTATTTCATTTTCTCTGCCCTGGTCACCTTTCGTATATCGATTTTGCTGACTTTTAGGTGATTTGAAATTACATTCTGCAAGGTTTTAGTGAGTATTCATGATTTATGAGAGGAAAGATAACACAGTTAAGAGGTTGATTGCGTTGAAATTTAAGGCAGATAGTTTGACCAAGAGGTTTACTCATGTTTCTTCATCTGTGGTGGAAAGCGTTCAACACAACAAAATTTTGGGAAAGTTTAAAGCTGGTCAAAGAGACGTGAATCATCATTAAAGCCAATTGAGAAATCTATGGAGAACTGGGGCCAAATACGATACTCATTAACTGGGGTTATCTTCTAGGTTTTGCCTCTTCCTCACACAATCTATGTATATTACGACCCAATATGTCTACATGTCTTATCTATTATAACAAAAGCTGTAGAACAAAGTCAAGTATTAGAGGTAGACATAGCACTGCAATTTTAAAGACACTATTTTGTACAACAGATATTTAATTACTGATTTTGTAATCAAACAATAAAAATAATATTCATAAAATATTAATAGCACAGTGCCAAGTAGTACTCAGGTGCGTGTCTAGAGGGAGGGTCAGGGGAACCCTGACAATCCTGTGTTCGCGGACCCGGACAATATTTTTGTCCTTCATTCATTGAATTAACGTGCGAAGCAATGCCACCGTTTTGACCCTGCCTCACTCTAATCCTAAATATGTTCGCACCTAAATGAGTAGAAATATTGTCCCAGAGCTTCAGATTTTTATGAAATTATTGGGTAATCCCTCAAATCTAACGCCGACCCCCCTCAAATTCCTTGACACGCCCCTGGTACTAAACGAAAAACAACACCATGTTAATGTTAAATATAATGTAAATCACGAAATATTAAACAGATTAAAATACATTCTACGATATAGGTTTACATGAACACGAATTTGAGAATGGACGGAATATGCAGCAGTTTAGTTGGCGTATATAAATTATATAACACAACTGTAGATAACTTAGAGAATTTATGTACGAAAAAAATCCTGATTTAATGCCAAAGATGTTCTGTGATACCCAATATCATTCTGTTCTCAACCATCCCTCGCTAACACCCCGTTTTACTAAAGGCTTACAGATTTCCGTGCACGTAACCTTACTGCACCAACTAAAAGGAATATCTTTTGACCCACACGCTCTCACATAAAAGTAAATACCGGTAATAGAAAGTTTATTTATTAAAAATCTGTTTATAAGAGAAGGGCAAATGAATAGTCTTTTTCCGAAGACCATCTGATGGTTTATGAGAAATTGGACCAAACCGCTGGGCGTATAAAGGAAATGTGCTTTTTTGGGGGAGCCATCTTTATAAGGTTTTAGTGTTAGCGAGAGATTATGGGTTTCTATACCCCCACCCCCTCCTCCCCTTCCCCACACCTGTGTCAGCAAATTTTGAATTTAGCGAACAAGTTTCTGATAGAAAATAAGTTCGATTATAACAAAATATAAACATCTTAATGTAAACCAGATATAAACGAGGTTGTGCTTTTTTTTTATGTTAAATTGAGCTATGTACAGCTGGCCTTGAAAATTTATGCGGTCATATTATCAAATGACACAAATCATCGTTAAAGGTCAGAATCCCAACTAAAAATGTATATCGGATGGCCCGTTAAGTTATGCAGCTGAAATTTGTTCGATTTATGCGGAACCAGTGTTCATTTAGTTAAAACATCTTACTATTCTGTGGAATGGTTACTTAGTAATGCAGTTTTAAAGTTTATTCAGTTAGTTTTTGGCCACCCGATATATTTATATTGTATTGGTTTAATTTTTCACTGCATTTTGATCATAAACGAAGTTGTTAGATTCTTTATAGTTTGGTTTATAATCCCTCTGATCTGTTTCTGTTACCTCATTATCAACTAATGTTGCCTTCTTTTTCGCTTTACCCCTGAAAAATATTGGTTCAAAGTAACATAAGCCCATGATCTATTCAAGACCCAATATTCCAGACTAAACGGCAAATATCGACCTCCAGACCATACACAAAACAACTGCCCAAGTTGACTTAATATGAGTGGGTAGGGTGCAATGATAAATTCTTCGTCTGTGAGAAAATGTCCACATTTACTTGATCTTGAGTACCAGCGAAGTAACGTTTCTACAAAATGCGGTTAAAAGCCATCAAGTGTTTTAAATCAAAGAGGTTGAAAATGTATGAATCGTATTCCATTCCATGTTTGTCCAATATTACTCATAAAATGTTACCTGCCGTTGCTAGGATAAACAGTGAAGAGCTGTAACATGGCACCTGTTTGAGTTCTCATATATCAATCAAATTTTAATGACCCATTGATATTTGTCGTTTTTTCTATATTTACATCTTGCGCTAGCCATGTAAGTAATTAATTAAGGTGTAACCTTTTCAATAGGAATCGCTATTTAGAAATTTATTGAAATCCTCGAGAAATCCATTTAGTAAATGTTATGTCTATTGATTTTGTGTCCCCAAGCAAATAGAGCGAAATATTATCCTACTCATACAACCTCAACAACTTTAAAAAAAGAAATCTTATAGATTTGGGCCCTGAGAGAGGTTTAAGGATTTCTGTGTCATAAAATTGTCGGACGAGTCTGAATTTCGAAAGAGTTTCTGCTTTTGATTGTAAAAAATATCCCAACTAGACCTACTATGTAATCAAGCAGTAGTAAGAAGTTTTATTTTAATCCCTCCAAGTGCCCGTGTTATTGTTGTCTCATTGAAGAGCTCATGTAAAAATATACTGTGCCCCCACGCCGAGAAACATCCCGTCACTCTCTCCACACACACGGACATGACTTATATCCAATATACATGTAATGACCATAAATTCTTTTACAAAAATACATTAAATGCAATTTACTTCAACGAAAACCACTTTCTTTAAACTAAATAAAATTAAAATTTCGAATCTTAACAATTTGCACCCATGGTGACAGCTACACAGTCACCGCCAAGCCCCCCTCCCCCACTCCCCCTTTCCCAATATTGTCATCGGACACTTTATAATTATTCATTAATGGCAAACATAATCACGAAATAGATAATGTTGTAAAATTTAAGTTTCGAATATTGACGTTCCCCTCTCAAGGGATAGAGTCAGGTTCTCAAACCAGAAGGTAAACACTTCAAGATTGTTATCAAGCAAAAAACAGACGATGGGATAAAGATTGATGTTAGAGTGATCGATTTCCCTTATTAATCAGAAGAGCACCTTGTTAAACTTTTGTAGCTTTATAAATAAAGCCTATTATAACTCAAGGCAAATAAGAGAGAGAGAGAGAGAGAGAGAGAGAGATGGGTCATTTCGGGACTAACATATGATTCAATTTCATTTCCATAATTGCCCCCCCCCCCGCCCGGGTCCGAGGCCTTGGACTATAACATGCATGTTCTTTAATACAACAATAAGTAGTAGCTTCTGCTTTGCCTGGGATCGGGGGACAATGGTTTAACGCGTGCACATTAGATCATAGGGTCTGTCACTGAGTCAAATGACAAGGAGGAGGATCGCCTGTCCAACCTCGTGATAAGCGAATTATTGAAATAAAATTGAATCATATGTTAGTCCCGAAATGACCCATGAGACCAAGTAAGTGCTCCCGTGAGACATAGTCCCCTCTGGCCCAGTCCTGAAAAATTCTTCCACTACTCTATGGTCTTATATACTATCTTATCGCTATCTGAATGTTTTTAAGGGGCTCAATTCCGTTATGTGATGCATCATTCTTCCACACTTCTATCGTCTTATACTACCTTATCACTATCATATTCGCGGTTATAGTGAATCCCCCCAGTTAGTAGTACCACTAGTAAGTGGGTCGTGGGGCGACAGACTGTACAAATGTTCCGTCAACTCTCACAAAACAGGAGGAACTGACAGGCAGATATTGAGATTATGTCCCATTTCTTATCCTCTCGTTCACAAGAATTTGCCCCCATTGCTGAACTCAAATGCCGGGAAATTAACTAAAATTTTCAGGCCCAGTACCAAATAATTAAAAAAAATCTGTTACATATTAACCTATCTGAAATTCGTTCGCGCCTACGGCACTAGATTCCATTATAACATCATTCTTCCACTCCTCTGTGGTCTTATAAAAAACATAAAAACAGTTGTTGTGCAACACTATTGATCTATAAAATTGTATTTACTATAACAACTAATCAAAACGTGTTTCATCTACATATTGCTGAATGTTTATTGATTGTATGTTTATTGGTTTATGGATTTACAACTGTTGTGTATGACCGATAAAACAGCAACTACAATTACACATCACCAAACCAGAGACGTATTTTTTTAGTTTTTAGAACTGAGTTTCCAAAACACACAATGTTATGATAGTGTTTTTCGGGAGCGGATTGAGTAGCGTTGGGCCCTCGGACCACTTGGATTCCCGCACTCCCACTCATAGATCATTTTTCTCCTCGGATTTAGGCCATTATATTTTTCAGTGGATGGGAAGATGAACTTTATTTATTTGGTTTCTGATCCCTCTTGACCCTCGGACCACGTCCGACGCCCAGCCTGTCCCTGGACTGTTTTTTTTTTTAATATGACAGGAATTTATCCAAATTTATTTTAAGACGATTCAACGAATTCATATTGTGGACAAAAATTTGGTAAAAGATATAATTAAGTCAATAACAATTTCCCTGATGACTGTAAACAACGAATACATTTATTAACACACTTTATAGAAAATAATGTTACGGTCTCGTTCTTACGTACAATGTATTTATAAATTACTTATTTAAGATATATATAATGTGAGCGGTCGTTTGAACCCTGGTAATTGTCTAGTACATTGAAATATTCATGTAAAAGTAACAATTGACGGCTTTATATTATTACACTGAATTGTTGTTTTTTTTTGAAACACCATATACAGTTGAAAGCCTATTACCATTGTAAATGTTACTTGAAATGTGCTTAACCAGTTGATGGACAACAAAATTGTCCTTTAAATCATTTCGGTACCCACTTTGTTTAATTTTATTTCAATAATTCGCTTGCGCGTAGGGGTCTTTAGCAGTGGGAGGAAACCGGAGAACCCGGAGAAAACCCACAAGGTTTGACAATTGACAGGCGACCCTACTCCTTGTCACGTACAACCGGGGAATCGAAACCATGCCAGTTGACTCAATGACAGACCTTATGATTCAACGCGCACGCGCTACCTATTCGGTCACCCTCTCCCACCCCCTGTATATATAAATTGCCCTTTAACACTAATTGGTATAATTTAAGTAGTGTATATTTACTTTCTAGTAGCCACATGGTCTTGGTGAGTAGGGCAATGACCCACTTACCACAAGGTCACAGGTTCGATCCCGTCGCTGGTCGAGAAATTTCTTCGGGATTTTCGAGTCTGATTTCTCCTTTTCAGTAATGCAGAACGGAGAGCCATGACAAGGACAAAGCCTCTGGTAGTCCGGATGGGACGAAAATTCGGGGCTCGCCCGTATACCCATTGTTGTAGGTGTAAAAGAACCATTAAATTCGATGAGGACTACGAGCGCTGGCTGAAAAGTTCTAAGCCTGTCTGTGAAAGACCTGTACAAAGTCGATAGTTTCCATTTATTTTTCTACATTGTCCACTTCGATGTGTATACAATTTTGCCGACGATGTTGCAAGGCCTGGATGCCGGTCAAGAAAATTTTTTCTTCAGCCACCTTAAAATAAGTTGTTGACAGCTGACATGACGTCATTATTACTAGAAAAATGACGAGCGGCTAGACCTTTTTTATTTTTGGAAACAGCTCTCATTCATGGTTACAAATCCGGCCAAAAAATTATCATGAGCTGCTTCAAAACGGCACAGATTGTCACGGGGCGTCAGGAATCTGACACGTTTCTTATCCACGGTCAAGAGATTTGGCACCAATCTTGCAGAAACTTTGGTCATTCCTAACTCGTTGGCTTCCTGTAAGGGTACCCGAATGTTGAATGTGGTCTAGTTATGCGTTAATCAAGTCTTTCAATACCGTTGTTTGGATTATTATGACAGCCATTATATTGGAATTATTTCGTACGACGTTATTATTCTATATAATATGAGGTTATTATCCTACATATAGTGAGAGGTTACCATTCTGAATTATAACACGGTTATGTTTATTCTTTACTCTAAAGTCATTTACAGCAGAGATATCAGTTTTTAATTTGTTTTATTATGTGAGATTACCCACTCCTCGTTTATGCTGAAATAAGTAAAACCTCGTCAACAAATTCTCCGTAAAACACAGACTATCGGTTACGCCCTTAATCGTTCTTAACCCCTGATTTATTTCAATGGGTTTTACTTTTTTCTAGTATAAACCCGGAGTCTTGCCTCATCTATTACAATTAGCACAAGTTGATATACTTACTCCTTTGTATATTTATAGAAGATCCATCTTTCTGATTTACATAGATTAAAGTCTTTTCTCAGGCAAATGCCAATTATTATTAAGAGAACCACGAAGCCTGACACGCAACCCCACAACTGTAGCTGTTCTCTCCTGAAATGAAAGATACATTTATAATCTTTCATTTATAGTAAACAACGGCATAGGTGCATTAGAAATACAGATACAGAAATTATGAGAGGTTTCCAATCAGAGGGAATGACAATGATCGACTTCTAATTATCGGAGTAAATCTAAGCAACTTCGATTTTAAAAAACGGTTCTACCCAGTTGGTGCTCACGGGCACCCCATGGGGTCTAAACACCTCATTCCGACGTGGTTTCCCCTTGTCAGTGGTGCAGAACGGAAGGCCTGACAAGGACAGCTGCCTAGTCCTTCGGATGATACGAAAAACCGAGGTCCCGTGTATACATTGGAATGCACGTAAAAGATCCCTTGGCAGTTGGAATTCGATATAAGAGTAGGCGATAGTGCCGCTGTCCGGGCAAAATTTCCCTCATAGCACACTGTATGGCGTATGCTCGTCTTCATTAGCCCAGTTTAGGAGCAGAACAGTAGGACGTTAAACCCCATTTCATTTCATTTCATTTCTAAACACCTCACGCGTTCACTCTTCACTTGTCAAGTCTCCACGAACTGGGCGGATGACACGCGACAGGGGTATATACTTTGGAACATTCCTAACTCATTATTTTTTTACGCCCTTGGCCGTTGAAAAAAACCACTTAGGTTATTCAGCTTTCAGCCGTTCTTGACCGGCACCCCCGTTCATGATTGCACCTTGATGAAGCTCACTTGAAACCATGGGGTTGTTCTGGACGGAGCACAATAGACATACAATCATCGCATTATCTCTCCATGTATTGTTTCCATAATACATGTATATACATTTTAAAACATAAAAGGTAATGAAAAATAATGAAATGCTAGAAGATGTTCTTTTTTTGTCTATTAGAGGAGTCGATCAGTCGGTCACCATTTGCTCTGCATACAATAATGATCAAAAACAACATTCAGTAATCCTTTGCTCTATTTCCTTCTTCCTTCTTCACAGGTTGCGTGATGAAGGGCATTTTTCAGCAACATGGGGATAAATAAATCATTTAAATCTGGTGCGTTGCCTTTAAATTTCCAGATGGTATAATGATTTGGGACTCTCTTATATAAGGTCAATCAGATACCAAATGTTGGGCTCAAATCACGAGACTTTTCGACACAATTTGAGTCATATGTCGACAGTCGACGGCAAACCCCATCCCAGAACATTATTACATTATCGGGCGATAATTAGTATTTTTTGTGACGCATAGCAAAAGCTTTTAGAAATGGTCATTTTAAATTTTTGGAGGTTTTTTTTTGTGTCTGGCTGATTTATCCTGTGTATGACATTGACTCATATGTCAGTGATGTAGAACGTTGGGCTTGGCAATAAAAAAAAGGGTACTCTTGACAGTTCCAAAGATTTTTCTATTGGCACATTGCATTAGACCGGTTGGCGCAGAAAAGTAGGACGTTCAACCCCATTTCGTTTCCATTTCATGAAATATCAATTCCCATTAATTTGAGAAGCGGTTCGATCTGCTATTTTGATAAACACTATACAGTGTACGCTAACAACTCATATTTCTGTTGACTATAAAATATATTTTCCCGTATGTCATTATAACCTTTACAATTTGGTTTTATATCATCGATGTCAGACTTTATTCCCCCTAAGGTATTATTTATGTTTAGTATTTCCTTGCTTTGAATTGAAGTTATATCAGTTTTTTTTTGAATGACATGGTCACCCAGGAGACAAGTTACGCAATACAAAGAGATCGGATAATGGAATCTATACCAGAACTGTCTTTGTATCACCAAACACAAACATTAATCAAGCAGCAATAATATAGCTAGCTATTCAGTGTTGGGAGTCGGAACGACTGTGACATTATCTTAAGCTAATCAACATGGAAATCATATATAGATCAATAAATATACCATGTTATTTTCTCTATATAATTATTAATTCGGGAGAAAAGAAAAATTAATGGACATGTATTGACCCTCCTAGCTCACAAAAAGAAAACAAAGAAAGAAAATAGAGCCAATCTATTAAAAATATCTCCAATTTTAAAAAATGAAATTGCCTCCAGGCGTGCGTGTTTCCCGTTACTTTCCGTTTCAAAGACTTTTCTGCCACCCGTTTCCATCGCAACAATATACCGTTAGATAAGTCACTGTGCACGTTTCCTGTAATGACTCTATAAGCACCATTAACTAAGTTGAAAATCTAGTAGTGTTTTTATCTGAGCTTATAAAACAGTGATTAACAATTTCCTGTTTAGAAAAATGACTACTTCACGTCGTGTCCTGGTCGAAATCAGATGTCAAATACGTTTCGTTTATATTTTATAAGGTATCACAATTACGCTTCGTTTATACTTTATAATGTACCACAATATTAGGTTTCGATTCATTTTATTTTTTTTAAATTACGCCACAACTACGTTTCGTTTTATAATTTCTTTGTATGTACCACAATAAAATGATTCATTTTATTTTTATAATGTTTCGCAATTACTTTCGGTTTTATTTTTTTATAATATACCTCACATTTCGTTTTATTCTTTATAATATACCACTTTACGTTTTATTTTTTATAATATTTTATAATTATTTCGTTTTACTTTTTATAATATGTCACAATTATTTCGTTTTATCACAATAACGTTTCGTTTGCATTATAATATTGTATCACAATGCAGAGTAAAAATCTGAAAAGATAAATGAAAAGAAATGGCAATCTAATTCAACTGACTAAATCCATGCGAATATCAAGCAATATTCGAATAGTATTCAAATAGTTGCTATAACAAAACGAATACGTATTATTTCTCCAGCATCTATAATAACAACATACATTTATTTCAGACATGTTAAATATTCTAATGGGTCCACGTTGGCTCAGTGCAGGACGTTGGCTCGCTCTGGAGGTCCCGCGCTCGATTCCTGCATTGGCCGAGAAAGCCCAGTAGTTCCCCCTTGTCAGTGATGTAGGACGGAGGGCCTGACAAGCGACAACTTATAGTCGTTCGGAAGGGACGAACAACCGAGTCCCGCGTACACATTGGCGTGCACGTAAAAGAACCCCCGACAGTTGGAATTTGAAAGAAGAGTAGGCTGTAGCCCATTGGACAAAATTTCCCTGAATTTATAGCACACTGCATGGCGCATGGCCGTCTTCAGTAGCCCAGTAGGTGGAGAAAAGTAGGACGTGAAACCTCGTTTCATTTCATTTTCCTATCGGTCACTTTTGGCAATACTTTAGACCATATTGACGAAAAAACGCTAATGTGGGTGATTAGTATACCGGAAGAAACTTCCTAAAACTAGATAAAATTTGGCCAATTTAGGGAAATCTTAAAGGGAAAATTGGGTATTTAAGTTTACTTTTGAATGGCATCACATTTAACTGACAAGTAGTTAATAATATTAAAGACAAACTAAGAGAGAGAGAGAGAGAGAGAGAGAGAGAGAGAGGGGAGTAACGTCCACTCAACACAAACTAGGTCATTTCGGGACTAACACATGATTCAATTTCTATTTCAATAGTTCGCTTGCGCGTAGGGGCCTTTAGCAGTTGGGGGGAAACCGAAGGACCCCGTTTTAACAATACTTACAAAGCGGTTTCAGATGCTGGTTCACAACACACAAATTCTTCATCCTTCTCACAACATTCTGTCTTTCCCGAATCCTCGCACATATAGACATTTCCTTCCCTATCACCATATACCTCATTTTTGAAACATTTCTTTCCAGCTAATATCTCTGCAAATATATTTAGAATTTCATGAATTATAGAAATAAATTAAAATGACCAGACCTCTTGATTTGGGTCCAAAATAACATGGTCGATTTCACCTTTTATGTGTTGATTTGTTTTATGGGATGAATCAGCGTTGAGATATACCCGAATGTCTGTTCCACTGTCGACACGGTAAGCCAAAAATGAAACCAGGTTTAGTACAGAAGCCAACTTCTAACACAAAAAGTTCATCAAATAGTCCTTGCCTCAACACATTAGATCAACCCAGTTTAATACTTTATTTTCACCTGTATAAAACAGGCAATAGCTCATGTGTGCTTGTTAAAAAAGAAAAAAAATCCGGTTTGATGTCGTTTGGGCATAAAGTTATACCGGGCATGTTTACTTTGGATTGTATATATGCATATGTGTGAAACAAATAAGTCAAGCCATCGCTAAAATATAACTATTTCATTTGTCATGTTACTAGTTACCGGTGGTGTGTGCAGGATTTCAGAAAGGATGGGTGTCGGCTGGTGGGCACAAGATGATAAAATTAATTAAAATATTAAACGGATTATAGAGGATGTCCCCTGCACCACCAAACAGATTAATAACCAACCATCTATACATCATTAATTTGATTAGCAGGGCTATCAAGGGGAACCCACACTGGAAAATCTTTCTCGGCTAACACCAGCAGCGAACCAGAGACCTCCTGGTCAATGTACCAGCGACTTACCCATTTAGCCACCTCATCTCCCGTTTCTGTATAAAAATCTAAAAGTATGACTATTGAATATTTTCGTTTTTTTTATTTCTGAGAAGCGTTTTACAATTTTTTCCCTGTGTCGAATAGACATCGATCTTTTTCTATGGCCATTTTCTGAGCAAATATCACCAAAAATGTCTATATGTTGATTTATCACAGAAAAACTAAAAACAAGGTAAGCGGAAAAAGCTTTTGTAATTAATGAATCAATATTTTTTTTTCTTATAGTTACTCATTGATTTTCTGTAGTCTTTATGTGTTTTCTCCATCCAGTGTTTACATTTTTATCAAATATTTATACTAATGAATACGGGCATAACAACACTCTTAAAACTATGGCGTACTAATTACTCTATTCATTGAAATTGCTAAAAGAAAACAACAAATATTTAAAATTTATGGTCACGGGTTATGGTTTATACTTTTTTCAAAATGTCAAAGTCAACATTTTATTTATTTGAATTGATTCAGATCCAGAAAAACACAAGTACAGTCTACAAAATTAAAAAAAAAACAACCCCCCCCCCAAAAAAAACCAGCGGTTGCCAGGCAAGATACGTCCACATTTTGCAAGGGATGGATAGAGAACAAGCTAAAAACAAATGCGATTTTTCGTACAATTTATTAATCAGGAGCCATAATCCAGAATGTTATTGTCTGAAATGCGCAAATATCGAAAGAGGCTGAGATCTTTGGGATATAAAGATATATATTTAAGTTTCATCAAAATCGGACCTTCGTATTACATACTTTTACACATTTTGCGTACAAAGAGCGGCCATTTTGTCGGGAAGTTCGTTTCCATTTTCCCCATCATTATGGTGGAATAGTGATAGATTTAAATAGTTTTTAAAATCGGATAAAAATCGGGGGCCGTAATCCAGGAAGTTACGGTCTGATATGCGCAAATAGCGAAAGCAACCAAGATCTTTGGGACATAAACATATTTTAAGCTTCATCAAAATCGGATAACAATTGTGACTTCTATAGAGGGCCCACCACCTTGCTTGGTGTGACATACTTTTACACTATTTGCGTACAAGAAGCCGCGATTTTGTCAACCGTCATTAGGGTGTAACGGTGATAACGGTAATCGGATAACAATTGTGACTTCTATAGAGGGCCGACAACCTTGCTTGGTGTGACATACTTGCGTACAAGAAGCCGCCATTTTGTCAACCGTCATTAGGGTGTAACGGTGATAAATTTAAACGATTTTTTAAATTGGATAATTGATATACCATATTTTTTATACTATTTGCATACGAGGGGCGGCTATTTTGTCAGGCAGTTTTGGTTCGATTTTCACGAACTGTGGATTATAAACATGCATTTCAAGTTTCATCAAAATCAGATGAGAATTGTGACCTCTAGAAAATCCACAAGCCAAAAAACGTGATATTTCCTACAACCAGGAGCCATAATCCATGAAGTTATGGTCCAATACATTGCAATATCGAAAGGAACCAAGATCTTTGCGAGACAGACCTATATTTCAAGTTTCGTCAAAATCTGATACAAACTATGACCTGCAGAGTGTCCACAAACAAATTGTGGACCGGATGGACAGGGGCGACGACAATATACGTCCACATGAAAATGTGGGTGTATAAAAATTATTACGTCCTAGACATATGCCAACTTGTGAGTTTAGGGATTGACAGCAGTCTAGTGGAGGACTACATAATAATAATAATGAAGGTGCGCTCTGAAATTAGAAGTCGACGAAGTTGACGAACATTGTTTAAATTTAAACTCACGTGAGCGCTCACAAAACTCGGATAACAAGTGTTGCTTAGTTTCATTTAGGGTCTCTTCCATTGTGCATGCTCGTCTTCATTAGCCCGGATGGAGCATAAAAGTAGGAAGTTAAAGGGAGTATGACTCTATTGTAATTTCTAATCAATTATGTTCGGTGAAATACGTGAACGGCAGTCGCTTACGTCTGCTTAGTGCATTCTACACGTTTTTTTTAAATTATTATTTTTGTCATGTCAGCCTTTACTAATTGCTTCCACATTGCGTTGTAAGATATGTTTTATTTGTTCATTACAAAATGGCACCCGAAACCATAAGGTACACGACTCGTGTACTGATTATAAATGGTTAATTGTTTCTTAAATATTGGATATTAGGATCCTATAGTTTTACGACAAGATAACAACATCAATATTGATAGAAATTGATCAATATTGAATTCTAATTCATGTTTTTAATTTCGAATATTATGTAAAATACTGAGATAGAGACTTAGCTCCTTTAAACCACATCTCATTTTATTTCCTATACCTATATAACCACACATTCTTCTTTACAAAACGTCTTTTTTTTCTTCTAATATTTATGGCTTTTATTTTCGTTACCCATGTTTGTTTACTATATGTCTACTTAGATACCACACAGGGTACTTGCTTTAGGCGCATTTAAAATAAGAAAATATATCCAATAAGTACTGATAGCTTAAAAGGTTTAGAAGTTAGATTCTTTTCTTCTCCAACAATAGAAACAGAATGGGCTCTTTAACCACAGGCTAAAAGATTTAACATTGAAAGTTTATTGATTTAATGTTTTCGATTGAATTCTGTTGACAAGTTTAAAAAAAACAAAACAATCTATTATTTTATGACATCATTAAACTAAAAATCTATATTATTCATCATTCAGATCGCCAGTCGATTTTAAAACCAAGAGAAAAATCTAGTTCGTTGATTTCATAAACAACATGAAAGTATGTTTATGGTTACTAATGGATCGGTTATTTTTAAACTGTATTATATTAAAAGAACAAATTATGCTGGTCGAATGATGTTTGTTAACGAGAAAACGTGGACATAATCATACTAATAGATGGTTATAGCAAGAAAACAATAAATTGTATATAGAAAAATAACAAGTGTGTCTCTCTTTATACTTTACCGGTCAATAAATTGCTGCAAAATAATATACGCAATGAAATGGAACAAGGCTTAACTTCCTACTGTTCTGCTCCATCCCACCTAATCAAGAGGGACACACGCCATCCAGCGTGCTAGGGGGGGAATTTCTCTCTATTTCGAATTCCAACTGTCCAGGGAACTAGTACGTTTACGCCTATGTTAGCACGGGACCTCGGCTTTCCAGCCAGATCCTCCGTCCTGCACCACTGACATGGGGAAACCATGCTGGAATATCCCGAGGAATCTTCTAGTCCAACACCGGGGCCGAACCCGGACCACCTAGTTATACTAAGCCACCACCTTACTAACCGAGTCACCGCGGCTCCATCTGAATTTTGAAAGATTATATGAAGTATATTCAGTAATCTATCAAAGTGACAATAATCTTTTAAAGGCATTTAGTAACCGGATAGAGCAATGCACAAAAACACATATATACTTACGGAAAAAACTTCTACTTATTTATTTTGTTGTCATAGTTTTTTTCTGTTCTGTATATATTGGCCTCATAATTTTTGTATTACTGTATTAGCTTGATAACGTTGAGAGAATACCCTTCAAAATGTCGCACAAATAAATAAGTAGCTGTTATTTACTTATAACAAGATGTCTAAAATGTCAAAGATGTGGCGTTTAAGTGGTATTGCTACTCTCACAGACTAAAATATTAACCAAACAGTGGGTGTGACACCGCTCCAGGGGGTCGGGCCATGCACTAAAATAAATATGCAAAGATCCAAGATGATCCATTGGGGACACAAGAATATGCCGAGTTACCACGAATAGTGCCATATATTGTAAACTTTTATTAGCTTTATGGGCATCATTCGTGGAGAGCGTGGTGTATTTGTAACTGAATTCGGCATCTTCGTAACTCATTCGTAACTGAATTCCTACAATTCGTAAATGATTCTTTCATTTCGTACATTTATCGTAACCCTACCTTGACATGCGGCATATTTTTCACATCGTAAATCTTTCGTAAACTATTCGTAACTGCTTCATAGCTACTTCCGATGTTTACGATCTTGTTGATTTTTTTGCCGAATCGCCACGAATTTTGATTTGCCACTATTCGTGAAAGCGGGTTGCCACTATTCGTGAAAGCCGGGCATTATAAAAATGCAATTCTAACCAATTCACAATGATCACGCGTGGATCGTCAGACATTCGTATAGTAAGATTGATTGAATTTTTGCGCTTTAAATTAATAATAGCATTATATTATATCTTCACTAATTATTGGGTTCATATACATGAATTGTCGAGAAGTCATATCTCATGCACTCAAATTGAATGATAGGTTTATATATAAATATGTAGCAGAAGAGAGTATGCGTCACACGTCGGCTGTGGGGAGTTTCTATGCGTCTGGGCGTGCCACATCTAACCAGCGACGCATAGCACTAGGCGTATCACTACATATAATAGCATAGTATGACTGGATTACCACCAAAAACAAATTCCAGTTTAGTAATCATTTTCCAAATATTGGCCCATGCAGGACCCATTTTGAAAAAAAAAAAGAATAATCAAAATATTTTCAGACTGCCATGAAAGATATCATTCATTAAGATTAAGCTGCATGTACGCAGTTAAATTTTAAAATTAGATATTTGAAATCATGGATCTTAAGTTATCTGGGTTGGTCATATTAGATGAGACAGACCTTTCCATCCATCGCTGATGTGTTGGTGCGTTGTTTTGTGTTTGGAATTATTACATAGGTGTCGTACTTAAAATGACTTGGCCTATTCGATTAATCAAGTTTAGATTTTAGGTCTAGAAAAGCCACCGTTGAGACAAAGATGTCTGTGTGTTCCACAATGTCACAATTAAACCGAAGGCGTACAAATTGGGTGATTTAATTGTATATATATTATGGACTAAATACATATTCAAACTAATTAATTTGTCATAATTTTGCACTTTAAAACGTCGATCGTTACTACGTCTTCCCGCCCGAATGTCTTTTTTTATTTCCTTGGCATTTGCTCAAAACGTTGATCGTAACTACGTCTTCACTGTCACGTTGGTCATAATTTTCCTTTGCAGACTAAAAAAAAAGTCCCATTTAGAACTTAATTTTCTGTCGAAGCCTTAGAAATTTGCGTCTGAAATGCCTCTAGACAATTTAAATGTTACAAAGAGTAGTTATTATTTTTTTAAAAATATATCTTAAACTGACAATTACAAATTTAAAAGTCGCCACTTTGTTAATTAGTTTTGTAGATGTGTTAGCTTTGTGAGCGGTTGATTTTGGATTGCCAATGGTTCTTATAAGTAACCCCAAATCCGCTGTACTCTACTCACAGGGAGTCCCTGGCTCACATATATAAATGGGTTCCCTGTCCAGTCTGCGATATCACCCTATGTGGAACCTGACGTTAAGCCTCAAGGAACGAACAAACGAACCAGCCTCACTCCCTCCCAAATATAATATTGTTGATTAGTACATTTTAATCAGAATTAGTTGTGGCTTGAAATGTGCAAATATCAAAAAGGACTCAGATCTTTGGGATATAAAGATATGTTTTAAGTTTCATCAAAATCGGATAAAACTTATGACGTCTAGGGGTCCACAACCTTCGTATTACACACTTCTACACAATTTGCGTACAAAGAGCGGCGATTTTGTCGGGCAGTTTCATTTCGATTTTCCCGAAATTCGAATTCAACCTTCAATATGGTGGAATGGTGATGTATTTAAACGGTTTTTAAAATCGGAAAAAAATTGTGACCTCTAGAGAATCCGCAAGCTAAAAGTGCGATTTTTCGAACAATCAGGGGCCATAATCCAGGAAATTAAGTTCGGGTATCCGCGATTATCAAAAGGAACCAACATCTTAGTGTGTAACGGTGATATATTCACACGCTTTTTTAAATCAGATAAAAATTGTGACCTCTACAGGGACCACAAGCTAAAAACGTGATTTTTTTTTCAATCTAGGGCCATAATTCAGGAAGTAAGAAAATCGAAAGAAACCAAGTTATTTGGGTTATAAACATGCAGTTCAAGTTTCATCAAAATCAGATGAAAATTGTGACCTCTAGAGGGTCCAAAACCCTGATACACAATATTTTGACACTATTTGCGAACGAGGGGCGGCCATTTTGTCCGTCAGTTTCGGTCCGATTTTTACGAAATTCGAACTCAAACATCTATTGTAGTTAGCAATGATCTCAGTGTTAAAATTATATTTGAAACGTGTTAACCAGTTCTATTACATATGTGATAATGACTGGCGCTAATATTGTCCTTTAACTGCGCTAAAGGAATCAGTAGATATCCGAAAAGTCGGAAAAGTCCATTTCCTGGGTAGTTATAAATGAAATGAAACGGGGTTTAACGTCCTACTGTTCTGCTCCGAACTATGCTAATGAAGACGGCATACGCCATACAGTGTGCTACGCTCGTATGAAGGAAATTTTGCCCAGACAGCGGCACTACGGCCTACTCTTATATCGAATTCCAACTGTCAAGGGATCTTTTACATGCCCTCCGTCCTGCATCACTGACAAGGAAGAACCACGCCGAAAAATCTGGATGAACTTTCTCGGCCAATGCAGGGATTGAACACCCGACCTCCAGACTAGCGAGCCAGCGTCTTACCCACTTAGAAATGATGTACTTATATTTCTAGATTTTGTTTTCTTCTGTATTTTATAATTCTACCGGGACCCCTAAACCTTATTCTATAAGCCCCTCTATAGCATTAAATAAACCAAAACGCACACCCTGCGTCTAAAAAAGACATCACACCGACTGAATGACTTACCTTGAATATAAGAATATAGACACAGACCAAATAATAATACAGTTTTAGATATCATTGTCAGATATCAATTTACATTGGTTTTAAAACATTCCTTATCTGTCACCAATTCTAATACCAAACCTCACAATCACCTCAAAATACCAATCTGTTGTTTTCTTTCCGGTGCTTAGTTTGTCTTTGGAATATTTCAAAACGTCACAACAAGATTTTAATCAACGTAATGGTTATAGATAAAATACCAGAAACAGCGCGATTTAAAACTGACTTTGTATTTGTCTGTAGATTACTCTCAACAGTAGATTCGTTTTAATCATGCATATAATGACATAAAATAATACTGCACAACGTCTATTGTAGCCATCGTTCGCTTAATGAAATGATTGACAGGTACAGACGACAGTCATGGCCAATATAACCTGTTACGGCACAGAACGACCGGTATCGATCGATTAATCCCTACCTTGAAATAGAACGACACAGGTTTCAAACCAGTTTGAAATAGATAAAGTATTGCATAAAGACTTTATTGTAACTATAGACTTCTTTAATTTGGGTAAACATAAAGATGTCGATTAAAAGCATTTTTCAGACAATATCTAATATTTTTCAGGGTTTAATCCAAGCTAAAATGTACTCAAATTGATTATTTAACATTTAATAAAGACATCAACGGTAGATAATCTCCCGGTTTGGATGCGATGAAATGAAATGGGCTTTAACGTCCAACTGTTCTGCTCCGTCTGGGATAATGAAGACGGGCATACTGACCCTCGTCTATGGCTTGACCAAAGAAGTGCGTAAGATCAATTAGTTGATAGGTAGTTGAGTCACCGAGCATTAAACCGCTTTGTTGGTTAGTTATGATTGCATTATCCCTCATGATGTTAAAGACGTGCTTGTAAATATATTTTTTCGAAAATCTAAACAATGATGCTCAAAAGGAAAACTGGTCTGTAATTGCCACATTCAGAAGGGTCGACTTTTTTCAGTATTGAAATAACATTAGCTGATTTCCAGATTATCGGTACAATTTTTGTGAAATGAAATGGGGTTTAACCTCCTACTGTTCTGCTCCTAACCTGGGCTAAGACGGGCATACGCCATACAGTGTGCTATGGGGGGAATTTTGCCCGGGCAGCAACGCTACGGCCTACTCTTATATCGAATTCAAACGGCCAAGGGATCTTTTACGTGCACGCCAATGTGTACACGGGACCTCGGATTTTCGTATCATCCGAACGACTAGACAGCTGTCCTTGCCAGGCCCTCCATCCTGCATCACTGACAAGGGCAAACCACGCCGGAAAATCCGAATGAACTTTCTCGGCCAATGCAGGGATCGAACAACCGACCTCCAGGCTAGCGAGCCAGCGTCTTACGGTACAGTTTTTGTCGAAAGGGAGAGATTCAATAGATTGCATAAGGGGTTACATATTTTAGATGAGATGGATTTTAATAACTTGCCATTTATGTGATCAGGCCCAGTATAGCTTTAGAGGTATCTAATGATAAGATCATGTCTTTAACTTCTTGAGGTGTTAGTGTTAGATTACAGAGTGTGGTTGTGTTCAAGTTTATGAGGCTATGTGCATTGGCTGTGTCAAGTTGTGGCTGGTTGATAAAGAAGTCATTTAAGCAATTTGCCTTGTCCAAGGGGATGGAGAAAATGATTCCATTGTTGATAAGGGGAGGTAATTCGTCATTTTTTATACCTTGCCCTTTCACATAAGAATTGATAAGACGATACAAGTCTTTACTACCAAATGTTGTATTATTATTTATTTTTAGGTCTATTTTTTCATAAAATTTCTGTTTGCATTTTCTTATAAGATTAATATATTCATTTCTAATTGATCAAAAGTATTGCCAATCATATTCTGCATTTGTTTTACAGCTTTTTTGTTCACCTTATTGTTTCGTTTTGCTTAATTATCTAATTTAGAAGATATAAACTTCCTGTTTCACATTTAGAGGGGTGTTATTGAGCAATAGACATGTCCTGAGATCATTAGGGTACGCTTTAGCGTCGCGAGTTCTAATGTAAAATCTCACATTTGTCAATTATTATACTATAAAGATCAGTAGAATACAGCAACGTATCATTCATATATAAAACATTTCATTCAATTAGAATACTGTATAAAGATCAGTAGGATATTGCATGGTGTTAGGTTGTATAGATTATTTCAGTCAATTATTATACTATAAAGCTAGGTAGAATACTGCATAGTACCATTCCCATAGAAAACATTCCAGTCAATTATTATGCTATAAAGTATAAAGATACTATAAAAATAAGTAAAAACCTGCAGAATATTATTCCTATATAAAACATTTCAGTCAATTATTATGCTATAAAGATAAATAAAATACTACATAGTAGTATTTCTATATGAAACAGTTCAGTCAATTATTATACAATAAGGTTAAAGGACAATATTGGTGCCAGTCATTATCACATATGTGATAGAGCTGGTTAAACACATTCCAAATATAATTTTAACAGAGATCATTGCTACGATAGCTGAGTAATACAGGTTTCCTGAATCGGAAGTCACGAACGCCAAAGGAAAACACGAGTCATGTCTCTATATAACTGACTGATGTGACGAGTGATAACAGATACACGGCGGAATTTCTGCTCACTAATAATTCCTTCGAAGACCAACAGTTGTAATACGGGACTGTAAGAGAATACCTGACAATTCAATAAAGTAATTGAATGTCATTAGATAAAAGAACACAAGAAAAATAGAAATAGTCCGTACATTCCCTTGTTTATATTCATTCTATACCTTATAAAAACATGGTAATGCACGGACCTTTTCTTTCATGTTCTCTTATCTAGTGGCAGTCAACTCTTTATATGAATTGTCAGATATCCTCTCACAGTCTCACACAACAACTTTTGGTCTTGGAAGGAATTATTAGTGAGCAGAAATTCGCCCATGTATCTGTTATCACTCGTCACTTCAGTCCGTTATATAGAGGGATGCCTCGTGTTTTCCTTTGGCGTTCGTCACTTCCGATTCAGGAAACCTGTATTACTCAGCTATCGTAGCAATGATCTCTGTGTTAAAATTATATTTGGAACGTGTTTAATTAGTTCTATCACATATGTGATAATGACTGACACCAATATTGTCCTTTAAGTAGAATACTGCATAGTTAAGCAGAATCATAGTATTATTTAAGCATAACATTCCATGCGCTTATACCATAAGTATCAATAGAAGACTGCATTATATCTATATAAACATTTCAGAAGAATATTATATTATAGAGGTAGGTTTTGTCATAAACGTTAGAATATATAATAAAAGTTTAATATATACTGAGCGCCATGGAAAACGCATCACTTAGTTTTTCGTATAACAAAATGATCCTGTAAACATATCTTATTTATTTTGCTTCTTATTGTGAACAATATTCAAATGGGAACACATCAATAACAACACATTTGTACACTTATGGATGTTTAATCTGTAATCAACGGTACAAAGTCAGAGGGGTCAAAACCAAAAGTACGACACAGACGTCAGTAGCGCGTGTGTCCTCCACGGGCTCTTATTCACGCTGTGCAGCGACGTCGCATGGAATTTACCAATGTTTGAAAGAAGGCCTGTTGCAAATTGTTCCATTCTTGAACAAGAGCAGCTTCTAAAGCAGCAATGGTGTGCATCTGTGGTCTCCGATACCTAGACGGCGTCCAATCTCATCCCAGACATGTTCTATCGGTGCCATGTCCAAGACATTGATGTTGTTAGCAGTCAGGTAGTCCATACTAAAACAGGCGGTATGCGGACGTGCATTATCCTGTTGGAAGTGCTGAAGTTGTGGGTGCGCTCGAAACATCGGAACAACAATTGGTTGCAAGACATCATCACGGTAGGCTACAGCATTAACGCGACCCCTGCAAATGTGTAGGGCGGCCCGGTGATGAAATGTGAAGCCTCCCCAAGCCATTACACTTCCCCCACCCCATTGATTCGTTTCGAAGACGCAGCAGTCTGCAAGACGTTCCCCAAGACGTCTCCACACACGTTGACGAACATCAGCATGATAAAGATGAAAGCGACTCTCATCACTGAAGAGCACACTTTGCCAGTCTACTCTTCTCCATGTCTGATGTCCTTGAGCCCATATCAAACGCCGCTGACGGTGATGATCCCTGAGGATAGCTCCAATATAAGGTCGTCGTGCACGGAGTCCTACTTCTCTTAGACGACGTCTTACGGTGTTGGCACTTACTGGTCCTTGTCCTACTTCTCTTAGACGACGTCTTACGGTCCTTGTCTTCCGACGACTGCTGCACCTGTTCGAGTCGCTGGGCGGAATCTGTCACGCAGATGAGTGACCCGGATGTAGCGGTCTTGAGCCTGGGTTGTAACGCGTTGTGGACCAGGACGTTGACGGTCACGTGTTGATCCAGTAACTCGAACACGTTCCACCAACTTTACAATAGTGGACTGATGACAATTGAAGTGTCTGGCAATAGCACGTGTAGACATGCCAGCCCTGGACATTCCCATGGCTTCATTCCGTTGATTTTCAGTAAGTCTCGGCATCTCTAGCTCGATTCCTTCACACGTCCAACAACAAATTACGACAGATTGGCGTTTCACAGTTCATGTACTGCACAAGTTGAAAACATGCTTTTAAAGGGCTCACACACAATGCTGCACGTAATATTGGGTTTTTCGTGTGCATCTCGTGCAATTTGGGAGCGTTTGGGAGCATTGTGTGAAACAATAGTTCATAGTATTGCATAATATTATACATACAAAACCACCTAGTAATAAAATATTGGGGAAAAAAAGTGATGCGTTTTCCATGGCGCTCAGATATAATAAATCTGTATGACACAAGGTATTATTACAATGTTTTAGCACAGTGTGGATTGTTGCTGTTATTTGCGTTGGTCTATAGATCAGAAACCGTGTTAGTTAAATTTTTATGTATAATATGAAATTATAAATCCATACTGATCTGTTGATCAGCGGCTTGACCGTTGATGGTAATGAAATGGGGTTTAACGTCCTACTGACCGTTTGAATGGCGATTACATTATCTCTCGATTCTGTTTGTTTTGGTGTTCGGGGGTTGGATGGCCGAATGGTTAGCACGTGCGCGCTGTATCATAAAGTCTGCCATTGAGTCAACTGGCGTGGTTTCGAATCCCCAGTTGTACGTGACAAGGAGTAGGGCCGCCTGTCCAACCTCGTGGGTTTTCTCCGGGTCCTCCGGTTTCCTCCCACTGCTAAAGACCCCATCTCTCTCTCTCTGTTTTGGTGTTGATATTATAGCTAAGTCAAAAAGACATGTCTGTCTCAAGTTAATGTGGCTTATGTCATCTACATTC